CCCTCCCTCCCCCCCCCCCCCCCCCCCCCCCCCCCCCCCCGCCGCCCCCCCCCCCCCCCCCCCCCCCCCCCCCCCCCCCCCCCTTAGCATTAACACAGCAACTAATAATTGGCAAGCAAACACGCATTTGGGAGAAGACCTCGGCGTCTTGTTCTTCTTTGTTAGCGATTAGACGTCTCTCACACAACCATGGCAGACGCCCTTGTGACGATATCAACACCCTCGGATGGCGTCAGAGTCCTGGCCTTCAACCGGCCAACCAAGCGCAATGCCCTCTCGCAGGACCTCATCGACCAACTGCTCCAAGGCCTCGCCGCGGCTGCCAAGGACAGTTCGGTTAGAGTGATCGTCGTTACCGGTAGCAGCACCTTCTTCTCAGGTAAGAAGACCCCTTGGGATGGAAGCTCTCCAAGGTTCCTAGGGACCGCCAGTGACTGACTTGCTATAGCTGGAGCGGACATTACGGAGATCTCTCAGCTCGACGCTGAAACGGCACGGCAGCGTCGCTATCTCGAAGACCTTTGCAGGTGTATTACTGGGATTCGCAAGCCCATCCTCGCCGCTGTTGAGGGCATGGCTGTGAGTGATCCATGGGAATTCATGTAGCCACTACTTCGACGACATTGACTAACTCGTCTCCGCCACGCAGCTTGGAGGTGGCTTCGAGGTCGCATTGATGGTGAGTTGAACATTTCCTGCCAGCTGGCCCCCTTGCCTTATGCAACGTGAAACTGACACGGGCCTTACTGCAGTGTGACATCATCTTTACCTCCAACACTGCTCGGTTCGGGCTACCTGAAGTCAGCATCGGGCTTTTGCCCGGCGCCGGTGGCACGCAGAGACTGACCAATGCCATGGGCAAGTTCAAGGTGAGCAACTCTACCGGTTGAATCTGCCAAGTGCGAGAGACTCACATGGTGCTCAAAGGCAATGCAAGTCATCCTACTGGGCAAGCAGATCGAAGCCCCCGAGGCCCATGCTGCTGGACTCGTGGCTGGCTTGTACAAACCTGGGACCGTCCTGGAGGAGACTCTCACGGTGGCGACGCAGTTGTCAGGCAAGAGTGCCACGGCCGTCTCCTTGTCCAAGGAGGCTATCAAGAGAGGTAAGTGGCTTGGTGCACGATCACAGCAAATTGTACTACGCTGATTGACACTGCGCAGCTGATGATCTTGGCCGCGACGATGAGTTTGAGAGAAGTCTATACTACTTCGCCTTTGGTACGGCAGACAAGCGAGAGGGCGTTGCAGCGTTCCTCGAGAAGAGAGCACCGACCTGGAAGACGGGCTAGTAGTACTTAGTACAAACGCATCGCCCTTATCCGCTATTGTTCGCCTCCAATTCCTTCTTCTGCTCCTCGAGTTCATCAATCTCCTCCTCGCACTCTCGGATGGCGCTGTCAATGTCGGCCAGCTGCCACTCGGCTTGGTGAATGGACTCTTTCAGATTCAGCGTCTCCTCGTTTCGCTTCTCCTAGTCCTCTGAGCTACCCCCGCTCACAATCAGCTCCAAGTGGCCGTCCAAGTCGATGGCAAGTTCCAGTCGGCTCTGGACCCTATCCCGCATCTTCTCCAGGTCTTGCCGGTGCAGCTTCTGAAGTTCGATCGCATCGTGGAGTATGGATATGGTGGTCGTCATTGTGACTGGAGCTCGCAAAGGCGCTGTTGTTGAGTTTTATAAAACCTGTTGCCATTAACTAAGCCCATGCACTACGCGCTGAGTGCTTGCTTGGCTGTAACCGTAGCACGGTGGACAAAGATGGTGTTGATGTTTTGCTGGCCGTTTCTTCGAGTCGTTTTATATAAATCACGGTCATGGATCCATCCTCTTTCTTGCTGCCCGATGAACGACAGCTTGCCGTCTGGGCTCGTTACCTACCAGTGATCATTCGCTATGTACCCCCCTGAAGGCGTCCAGATCCCACACACTCAAATTCAGACAAACGTGGCAGCCTTGCCATTTGTGACACCAGACTCAACTCCTAGCAAGCATGCAAATGATCACGCACGTTGGTCCTGTGCTGCCTCAGGACGAGCACGATAATTCTGACATGTCTCCATTGGCCAACAATGCGGTCTGGCTATCGTTTCTTCTATGTGTCGGGTACTCACGCCTTGCTTGTACTACACATTCAACGAGCACAGCATATCCCCGGTCAGCAGAACGGTGAATTTTATCCGAGCCTGACGCCTACCAGGGTCGGAAGTGAGCATCGAATTCAAACGTAGTGTTTCAAGTTGCTGGCGAGAACGAACCATGCTGCAAATGCTATCATCCAAAGAGCATTCATTTTAATTTGATGCCTGAGCAGACGGAATACATAGATGCTTGCTACGCTTACTCATTGTATATATATATATATATATATATATATATCAGAGCAGTGCCCTCTCTCACTCTGCTTGACCGCTCACTTGATAAAAGGCGTCAAGCTCGTGGTCCCATTCATACCCGCCGCAACGGCACCAGAAAACGCTTGGGCAATGGCATCGGCACCCTCGGGGCTCGTGTGCGTGTGGTCGTTGGGGTAGAACGCGTTGACGGCATCCCGGCCGAGCGAGAGGTACAGGTTGCTGACAGCCTGGAAGTTGTCGACAAAGGTGACATCGGGGCTGTTCAGCGCGTCCGTGGCCGTCTTCTGGTACCCGACAAAGCGGCTGGGCGCACCCTGAAAGGTGCCCGTCTCCCACTGGTTGTTGGGCGTCTGGGAGCTCAGGACGACGGTCGCGCCCTTGGACAGCAAGAGGCGGGACGCCTGGATGACATAGAAGACAAAGGTGTACACCTTCTCTCCCGTCTTGTCCGAGATGCACGTCTGCGTGCCCGCACCGGGGCAGTCCGATCGCCCATTGTCGTTGTTCTCGGGGGACCCGCCGTCGTTGTGGCCAAACTCAATGACCACAATATCCCCGGGCTGGACGAGGTCGGCCACCTCCTGGAAGCGGCCCTCGTTCCAGTACGAGCGTGCTGAGCGACCACCAATGGCCTTGTTGACCGCGGGGATGGTCAGGTACTTGCCAATGTAGGCACCCCAGCCGTCAGTGTCACCATCGTTGGCGCCTCGGGCTGCCATGGTGCTGTCGCCACAGAAGTAGGCTGTCCGGGCCTCCGCCGCGTGCAGGCCCGCGAGGAACAGGGCCGAAACTGAAGTGAACTTCATCTTGGAATCCGGTCTTTTGCGATGCTTCAAGTTGTTTGAGGCTCGGTCGAGGTGCAGTGCTGCCGTCTCTTAAGGTTGACCCACGGACGGAAACGATACCCCAGATTTCGACATGCTTCCCCGTACTTATACTCAAATGCCGACCTTTTCAGCCCATACTCGGTACATCGCACCTTCGAGCTCGCAGGAAAGCCAAGAGAGCTCCGGCACAGGTGCCGGTTTCATGCAGGGCAATGTCGCAAATCTACCATCTCCGCTCGACCGGCATTCACCCGCCCCAATCACCCAGGCGGGAATATATCCCCCCTCTGTCCGAATTCTCCAGCGGAACGTCCCGCTCCGTGCTCTCGTTGTTTCGTCTAAAAGCTAGACCGAACGGCCAGAACAGGCGTGGAGCTCTGGCAGACAAATCTCGTTGTATTGTCGTGGCCGTGTCAAGGTTTCAGATGGTCAGTGTCAGGTTCGGGGTGATGAAGTTTCGAGGACTCGAAAACGAAATTGTTTGCGGGTACGGATACTATTCACACATGTCACTGGGCGCGTAAATATGCTGCCTGATTCATTATTAAAATGGTATGATCATACATGCTGACTGTTGACATTGCTGCGTAATTCTTTCTTTTCATCCTCATGATCTTCATCACTCGTCCAGTCGTCTCTCGTCGGGTGCCCGCCCCTACTTAGATCCCGTTGTACCTCACGCCTCTTCGGCCCATCTCCTTCCTTCCAATGGCGTCCTCGGGCCAGATCCAACCCCGAGTTCTCTTGGCCTCCCGCTTCTCGGCAAGCTGGGGCGCGGGCATCCATGAGTCTCTCGGCTTGGCCTTGCGGCGTGTACCCTCCGCCGGCGCACCAATCTCAGACCTCCAATGCGCGTGGGGAGGCTGGGGGCTGCTGGTGGTAGATGCCATCTGACAAAGCCCCCAGAGAGCAAGACAGGCGGTGAGAGGAACTTCGCTCATGTTTGACTCGGATGGCGCAGATGTAGCCAGCTGGACAGAGGCGACTTCGAGATCGCCAAAGAAAGGAGTGGCCTCGGTACCATTCCTGACAACGACGAGCTCGATCTCGGTCAGGATAAATCCGTATCGGCAACCGTGTTCTCGCATAGCGTAGTGCAGAGCTGCTAGGCCACGGAGGTATTCAACTCTCTTGATGTTGCCCTCCACGCGCATGCCGGTGTTGAAGCGATCAAAGGTGCGAACCAGCCCGACAACACGAGCTGAAGGCTTGCCGCCAAACATGGCGGAAGCCGTGGACGACTCGCCTGCCGGGTTGACCGCGAAAAGGAGGTCTTCTGCGCCAGCCATTTGTTTCTTGGCTGAAGGCACAGTGATCTGCAGGGGACAAGAAGACGACAGGGCAAGTGCCGCGTTGAGCTTGGGGAGATAATAGGATGCGTAGATGCTGTGCAGCCCAGCCTCAGTTTCCGGGTGCCGAGCAGACATGGCTGGCTGGGGCAGCAGGGTAGCGGGGACTGGTGTGCTCATTAGACTGGAGGCGCCTGGCAGGGAGAGGATCGTTGACGCAGTAAAGCTGGACCATGACCGCACACTGCGAACATCCCACCAAAAGTGCTTGATGTTGGGGTCTCTGTGCGGGAAAGATATGGTCCTTACAAGCGAGGCAGCAGGGTTGGGAGAGGTGAGGAAAGTCTTGAGCACACTGGAGGGCGTCGACTCAGGGGTGACCCTGGCCGTAGCAGCACCCACGGCGAGGGGAGAGGGCGCACCGGGCGTATAGGCCGACGGGAAGGTGAACTCTGGCTGTTGGATCACAGGCGCCTGACGGTACGTCGGGTAGCCGTACTTGTTCAGTGCGGCGGCATCGACGCTGATGCTGCGACGAGCCGATGGAGTCTCGCTATCGGGAGCAAAGCTGGCAGGCGAGCAGAGCAACGAATGTGAGAAGCTGTGGTCCAGCTGGTGCTGCTGGGGTTGTGGCGTTGGTGTGGAGAAAGACATGTGGGCAAAGGCAGCCATGTTGCTCAGGGTCTCGGGGTTAGTGTAGCTCCTGGCGTGCTTTCCTGCAGGCCGCCTTGTCTTTACGCGACGAGGTGCGGGAGGTGGTGTGGCAGTCTTGTGCGCAGAGATGTGATGGTGTCTTGGTGGAGCGGTATCGACATCCTGATCTTGGGAGCGGATCTTGGGCAGAAGGATGGGACCATGGTGGTGGACTGGAGGGCTGGCACGAGGAGGGGTGGACAGGCGTGTGCAGACAGAGTCTGACGTCGAGTCCACTGTCGATGCAGAGGAGTAGGTGGATGCTCGCGATGATGAACGAGTATGGGTGTGAGGCCTGTGTGCTTGTTCAGGCGCAATATAAGGCTGGTAACCGGACGCAAGGTCAAGGTCAAGGTCCACGTCCACGTCCAGGAAGGCGGGATCGAGGGCAAAGTCCATGACCGGCATGAGCTCTGGTGATGATGATGATGTGGCAGGGAGTTCAAACGACGAGTAGGGATAGCCAAAGTCGAAGCTCAAGTCACCTTCCTGACTGTACCTGTACGATATTAGCATTGACCAGACTGGTTGGTGTCTCACCTAGGTGAGGGCTGACTTACACAGACATGGCGGCTTGATTAGATTATTAAGAGAGACCTGCTCTCAAAACGTCAAACGTAACAAACAACGATATGACCAAGATGTAAACGCAAACGAGAGCCAGTCTCGTAGCTTCTTCTCAAACACAGAGGAATAGGGAACAGATGGAAAAGATGCTGAGGATGATTGGAAGCCAGAATGGCAAGGACAGGTCTTCTTATCCATGGCCGACCTGGGCCCCATGATGCGTGGATGAGTCCCATCCAACGGATTCTCCCAGACGCCCTGTATCGCAAATCATTCAAGCGCGCCGGATCTACGACTAGATCTGAGGTGAAACGCGCCCATCGCGGTCGCGCACTGTTCTTCACGGACGCGGTAGGGAGCATGCACAGTGCGACGTGCGGATCTGGGGTCGCGGCCGTGGCTGCACGTCCCGGCCTCCTGAGTGGCCCTCTAGTTCGCCTTGGAGTCATCTCCATGCGCCTTGTGCATGGTTCTCCACTACACGGGGACAATGTTTCCTGGCGTTGCTTTGACGTGTTTCGTTTCTTGGACAACAGGCCACGTTCTTTTGCTGCGCGATCTCCCACAGCACTGTCAGTCGCGGGCCTATGTCGTCTGCGTGAGGCGCGCTTTGCGATCAAGACCGACGACCGACGCGTCCTCGCTGGATGACAAGACGTGGTGCTGTTGACACTGGTCAGTGGTCGTCCGATGGGCTCTGGATTCCATCCCCTTCCGTAGTGCCGTGCGATATGGATATTTCTATATTTACCACGCTGATTCGAAACATTTGACACTCCCGAGCTGAAGGCGACCCTAGCATGGCCAAGCCTCAGGCCCAGACTGAGCACATCCCAAAGAGCCGAGCGCCTGCGCTGTAACAGCCGCCTCTCACGTCGGACGAGCGCTTGCGCCAACGGCCCAAGGGCCTGTTCTCTAAGGGTACTCGTGGCCTACGCGGTATTCAAATTGCACAGCCGCACCCGCGGCGCGTACCAGAATGGGCGCGATGGTTTCTCGTACACGTGATTGGTCAAGAGTGGCAACGCGCTCTGATTGGGCTGTCATAGCGCGACGACGCGCGGGCACGAGCGTGAACAGCCAATGACGACGCGAGCATTGGAGGTCTCTTCCAAAAGTGGCAATTTGTTCAGGTGCGTACCGGCTTCATGTCGACTTGGAGATGGTGGACGGTAGCCTCGACGTAATTTTTGGCGAGCAAAGCGTTGGAACAGTGACAGAACTTCCAAGACATCTGAAGCTGATTAGGGAAGATTTTAAACTACTGGGGAATCTCAGATTCCAAAGAGATCAAATGGGCAATGAGCAATGTCACAAGTGTGCTTTTCTATGTTTGCGGTCTTGCGGTACAGGGTAACCTTCAGTTTAAAACCTAGTTAGTTAACAGACAAGGACCGTGATCAGTAGGCAGTACATTGAGAGCCGAGAATCGAATCGAGGCCATAAGTGATCAGACTCGTTATCAATCGCGGCAATACCTTCAAGTATAGTTTGAGAAATGATGCAGTACAATCCTGTCTGGTGTATTGACAATTAGGTATTATTAGCAATCCATGAACCTTCGATTGTTGAAAATTCAAATGAGAAGTACTTCAATGTACGTTGCCTGTACGCATTGAGCCAAATCCAAAACCTTTAGAAGCCTCTGCGAGTATGAAGCAGGGTACGACTACGGATACGAACACGAACGCGAACGCGATCACGAACACGAAACGCTGCTTATTCGCCTTACAGCAGACACGACGACTAGGCGATGCAGATAATACCAAATTCTCAGAGCATGACGGGCAAGCATAGTATTATGAATTGTCATCAAACCCCGGTGCCTGCATGCTGGAACCTGCCTCGTCTATCGTGTGTGTCGTTACATGCGTGTATAAAGGGGGGCCGGCACGCTCTCGTCTTCTGTGTTGCGAGCATGCAACCGCCTGTTACATGTACTGAACAGCCTCCAAAAGTCCCAAAAAGACCACCAAACTTGTACTTTCGTCTTCTTCTCCAATCATGGAAGGCTTTGTAAAATACGTCCAGTGGTCCGCCTCGGCGTTCGCTCTGCTATTCGTCGTCAACATCATCCGCCAACTCCTGCCTCGAAGCAAATCCGACCCCCCAGCTGTTCTCCACTGGATTCCATTCATTGGCAATGCAATCGAGTATGGACTGGCGCCTTACAGCTTCTTCACTAAGAACCGTGAAAAGGTACGCTGGCTTTTGCCAAACCATCCTAACCGCGGGGCCACTTGCTAAAGATGACACTCTGCAGTTTGGCGACGTTTTCACCTTCAAAATGCTCGGAAAAAACATTACCTGCTATTTTGGTATCGACGGAAACGAGTTTATCCTCAACGCCAAACACTCCGACCTCAGCGCCGAAGAGATCTACAGCCCCCTGACGACCCCGGTCTTTGGATCCGATGTCGTCTACGACTGTCCGAATTCGAAACTCATGGAGCAAAAGAAGTTTGTAAAGTTTGGGCTTACACAAAAGGCCCTCAAGGACCATGTTCCACGCATCGAGCGGGAGGTGGTGGACTATGTCACAAGCGCGCCCCAATTCAGGGGTCAAGCTGGAACCTTCGACGTCAGCCAAACATGTTCACAGATTACGATTTTTACGGCTGGAAGAGCCTTACAAGGTGACGAGGTGCGGGAAAAACTGACCACCGAGTTCGCTAGCTTGTATCACGATCTGGACATGGGATTCTCCGTCATCAACTTCATACTGCCCTGGGCGCCGCTACCACACAACCGCAAGCGCGACGCGGCCAGAAACAGGATGCGAGACATCTACATCGATATTATCAACAAACGTCGACAAAGCGGCGGCGAAGAAGGCTTCGACATGATCTGGAACCTGATGAACTGCACGTACAAGAATGGCACGCCGGTGCCTGATCACGAGATTGCGCATATGATGATCACGCTGCTCATGGCAGGACAGCACACTTCCTCGTCCGCCATCACCTGGATTATATGCCACCTGGCGTCTCGTCCCGATATTACCGGGGAGCTATACCAGGAACAGGTACAGAACTTGGCCAATGGAGGGCGGCTTGAGCCATTGCAGTACGAAGACCTCGAAAAGCTACCTCTTTTGCGCAACGTCGTTAGGGAGACCCTTCGGGTGCACGCGTCCATCCATTCTGTACTGCGCAAGGTCAAGAAGCCAATGCCGGTGCCGGGGACTGATTTCATCCTCGACACGAGCAAGACGCTGCTGTGCTCGCCGCTCGTCACAGCGCTGAGCGACGAGTTCTTCCCCTATGCTTACGAATGGGATCCTCATCGCTGGGACGGTACGAAAGCGGGCGGAGAAGAACAAGATGACGACGCGAACGAGGTTGCCATCTCGAAAGGCACGCGAAGTCCTTACCTGCCCTTTGGTGCGGGGCGTCATCGGTGCATTGGGGAGAAGTTCGCATACCTCAACCTCAGTGTTATTGTCGCCACCCTGATCCGAGAGTTTAAGTTCTTCACAATGGACGGATCGAGAACGGTGCCTGAGACGGATTACACGTCCTTGTTTTCCAGGCCAGTGCAGCCGTCGGAGCTGCGATGGGAAAGGCGATGAATTGGGTGACAGCGAACGTAGACATCTGATCTGATGGACATGACAGACACCACATCGTCTCACTTGCTAGTACAGTATGAATTGACAGCGGATGAAAATTATTGGATCAGTCCGAGAGGAGCTGAAGTGACTATGTTCTGTGCTGATCTGGTGATGGCAATGGGTGTCTGGTCGGGGGTAGTCATAATCCGACCTCCAGTCGGGACAGCGGACAGCCCAAGCTCCAGCCGACATTGACAGGGACTAGACTTGGCTCCCCTGGAAGGCTGGCCGCTAGACCTGGGCAGGACGGTAAGGTACCCACCCAAGGTACCTCCCTCTAGCTGTGGCCAGTAAGCGTCAAGGGCGGATCGACAACTTGCGAATGCCAAAGGTACCTTACGTACAACTAGGCTAGCGACTGCGATGAAGTCAACATCAAAGATAAGACACATTCAACTGCCATCCACTGTCATTCCCTCCTCGCGATCCCTAACTTCGGCTTGCTTATCCTCCTCTGTCGCAAATACTGATCTCCATCACCGATCGCGTCACCGACGACATTGTCATACCTCCAGCCAAAGATTCCGCGATCACGACCCGCACGTCGCGCACGGCAGACCTCGATTGACCATTTAATGCCATCTTCGACCACCACCGTCACCAAAAGTCTTCGCAGCTCTTCAACCTTGCCAACTGCCCACCTTCGGGCCTCGAACCGCTCCAAAAGACGGCCGAGCAAGTCGAATGAATGCAACCACTCAACCCCTTCCTAGCCGCCTTCTTTAAGAGCTCGGTAGCCGCCCAGTGCACGCCAGTCCATCACCACATCCTCCTCGTCCCGCTAACGGATGTCCTCATAACACATCGCGAGACCGAGAGTGGTGCGCCCTCAAACGAGGTTATCGCCTCGGAGGAGTTCCTAGCCAGCCATGTGCTGCGCATCCCGCCGCCCGGAACCGGCCCAGGCGTCAAGGATGGCGTGCCCAATCTAAGGGAGGTGAGGGGCAAGGCCAAGCAGCTGTTGACTGTCAATGGGAGAAGCGTCATCATCAAGGACTCATATGTGTATAGTAACAAGGGTAGGCGCGAGGAAGCGATGCGCGGAGGTCATGTTTGCTGACGTTCTCGTCGACAGGTTTCAAATCATTGGCGCAAGCACAGGTCCTCAGCGACAACACCTACTACCCGGACGTATTCGAGCCCCGACAATGGCTCCTCTACTTCATATCGAAACCTCTCGTCGGGACGTGGGAGGAGGTCAAGATCATACCTGCCGTACTGTCCTCCAGCACCAGGCAGCGCAGAGCATCGGAGCAAGCAAAGGCAGTCAAACCCGACTCGCAAGTCGACTCGATACCCAAGAAAAAGGAAATTCAAAGCTTCCATGACCTTCTGAATCATTTTCCCATGATCGCGCGACAGATGCACCCGGGCCTGGAGAAGCTGTTCCTCGAATTCACAAACGTCTTTCAGAAACCGCTACCGCCTCCACCATCGTCCGAGAGCATACCAGATCCGATGCCTGAAGGGCCCATTGCTTCGGCGACGAAAAAAGCGAGATCCAATAGTGTCTCGAAACATACCGAGGCAGGGGACCGACCCCTGCTTGTCCAGAACGATTACTATGCAGATGATGACGAGGTCATCATGAGGGCATCGCTTGAATCGGCAGTCACGGCGGCCATTGACCTCTTCCAGGGGGTTGACAAGCAGCAATTGTCTCTTTTAGGTGCGACGACCGATCTGACAGGACCTCTGGTGGAAAAACTCATCGAGCGATATGTCACGGAAAACGTGCACCATCTGGTATTCCCGAAGCTAAACCAACTTAAACGACCCGAAGACTTGGAGCTAGAGGCCAAAATCAGACAGATGGAGTTCATCGACATCTCTCAGTTGGGCATCGCCATTGAAGGGGGCATTCCAGGCAAACATGACCTCGTCATCCAGCTCGGCGCCGCGGTGGAAGAATTCAGGAAGATGATGGCGGCCATGAGTCCCCAAGAGATGATGGACCTCCTCCTGTCGACCATGAAGATTGTCTCTCAGCTCACCGAGCGCCAACCGAACGACAAGGCTGTTGAAGCGACGTCCGAGAAAGCGATCATGACGGTGAACGCAGACACCCTTGTGTCGTTGCTGCTATACGTTGTCATCAGGTCTCAAGTACGGCATCTTCAGGCCCGCCTTACCTATATCCGCAGCTTCATCTTTATCGACGATGTCGACAGTGGCGAGTTGGGATACGCAGTCAGCACATTTGAGGCGGTTTTGACGTACTTGGCCATGGACTCGTCAGGGTTGCGACGTGCGAGCCGACGGAACAAGGCGTTATGGGATGCCGCCAAAGAAGGCAAAATGCATGACCTGAGAAACATTATCGAACCAAGCTCATCAGCCTTGCACGAGGGCCATGAGTCGCCCGAGTCGCCGAGATCCAGGAGACCTTCGGTGTCATGGAGCATACCGAACGGTCATGCACGCCGATCCTCGTGGACGTATACGATACCCGACTCGTTCTCTGATGGATCCGGGCTCAGCCATGTCTTTCCGTTTCAGTCTGGATCCGGGGTTAATGATGAAAGCCCTACGGTACCCTTTAAGCGTGTGAAGCGTGTCGCGATGGACACTCGAAGCATGTCAAGTGGCTCAGAGATATCGTTCCATTCGCGGACAGCAAGCCTTGCGAGTATTGGCAGCGCTCTGGAGGGCGACATCTCAGTTGAGCGCCTGACCCAAACTAATGATGGGTTTGGCGAGTCGATCCCAATGATGGCGATACAAAACGGGCGCCCAGCTATTCTGAAGTATCTTTTGACTCTGGACGAGTACTATCCACTAGCGAACCTCCTAGTCGACATGAACAGCGAGAATGTGACGTTGCTCAGTGCTGCTGTTCAGCTAAACAACGTGGAAGTTTTGGACACGCTTTGGAATTTCATCTCGGATGGGGCAAGCGAAGAGGAGCTCATCAGGTATGTTGCTCTGCAAGATATCTGGGGACGCAGTGTCGGACACTACTTGTTCAACGCTCCATGGATGATGGACCGCCTTGGACACCTCATTCCGTGGCGACAGCGAGACAAGAACGGGCAGACGCCTCTGTTTGCATTGTGTCGCTCCTATGATCACTCCAACTACCACGACATGGTAGAGCAAGGGCTGGCCGCAGCGCGACAAGCGCAGCATGACGGGGAACCCCTTCACATTGAGGAGCACGTTGACAACAAGAGCAACTCCTTGCTACACATCATCAATGATCCTCTCTTGGCCCTGATGATTCTGCGCTACTGCGATGTAGACGTGAACGCGACTAATGAGAAACGTTTCACCCCGCTGATGCTGGCAAGCAAATACGGCAGGTATGATATGGTCAGGGTGCTGTTTGCTGACCCTCGTGTCGACACTGCCGCGAAGGAGCTTCGGGGGCTCACGGCAGTTGAGCTTGCCAAAGACGACGATGTTCGCAACCGTATAGACGACCTGGGTCTGTTCACAATGGTCCCTGGCAAGGATGGGCGGATAACGGGTGTGGTGAGGGCGTTCTTCGTGGAGGACGGGAGCGTGAGGCTCGTTCTCAAGTCGGCAGTGCCCACGGATCGCGACAGCTACACCGTGACGTCCAGCAGGAGGTCGCTGTCAGACTTTGAGCAGCTGATACAGCTCCTAGGGGAGGAAAGCCCAGCTTCGTGGCTGCCCACTGCTACCGATACGCGGTCACCGTTCCAGATTCCCTCGAAGCCGTCGAGAGCCATCCTGCGCGATATCCACGCCAAGACCGATTCTGCACTGAAGGTCTTACTGAATCATCCGACCTTTGCGACCCATGAAATGTTGTGGGAGTTCTTTCTGGTGCCTGAGTTGCAACTAGACACGATGCGCGAGCGCTCAAAGCTCAAGGCCGAGACGCGGATGGAGCGCGTGAGGGACGAGTACGAACCGGTTGTGGACATGCGCGAGGTTGAGCAATTTGTGAATCATGCGCGCGAGATGGTCAGGGGTGTGAGCTACTCGACAAAGTCTGTCACACGGCGAGCCAACAGCGTGGGCCTCGCCGCAGCGGGTAAGAGGCGTCCTCTTCCTCAGCAGCATGACCGTTCTGGCCAACCAACTAACTCGGTTTAGACATGTATGATGCGTCAGTGCTCCTACACAGAGCAGTTTCGACCCTCAAATTCCTGCCCAGGACACACATGGACGCCTTTGAGTCCTATGTTCGCGCCCTAACGCCCACACAGAAGAACCCTCAGGTCATCCTCCACACCTCGTTGCTGGGCGTTCAGTCCACTGTGCAGGGTCTCTTGTCCGCTCTATCGCGACCGACGACTCTGATCAGCCAGATACAAGCTGCCAAAAGAGAAGCAGATCGCAACTACAGCGCCGCCGTCCGGCCATCCAGGTGGCCGCTCGGCCTTTTGGACGACACACGACAACGCATGCAAGATGAGAAGGAAGAGCGCGCAAAGGCCTCGAGACAGGAGGCTAACTATCTGTCGCGAGAATTACGGTACACACAGCAGACTGTGGCATCTGAGCTGGCGGGATGGCAGAGCATGCACGACCATATGGGTAAACGTCTCATCCGGGATTACGTACGAGGCATGGTCGTTCAGGAAAGGAACCAACTGGACGGCCTGATGCGCGCGCTGCGCAAAGTCAGGGGTGTGGCCGTAGAAGGCAAAGACAGGGAATGGGGTGTGCTCAACTCGCCCGAGCTTAGAGTACAGGACAGGGAGATGGCGGAGGCGGCACCGGAGCCCAAGAGGGATGTCGTCGACACAACAGCGGCAAAAACAGCAGCAGCAGCAGCGACGACTACGAGCAGCGAGCATTCATAAATGATGAACAGCGGCCTTCTGGGTACCTTGGATCATGGCGTTGGGCAAGGCATGGATAGCATAACAGCACTGGGAGTTTTGTGTTTGAGGATAGATGGAGATCCAATATCTGTGGGGACTTTATCGCCTCATGGCGGGATTCTACTCTATTGTACTGTATGTGTCTTTGAGAGCTGCCAAGTACGTACACCGTGGCAGTACTGGCGGTCTCGTGTGTATCAACTCTAAAGCCAAGCAAATGCTTTCTTCCAAAACGGTTTCTTCACCGGCACAATCTCCTCCGCATCGCCAGGGACGAGACCGGATTTGTCAAGATCGGTCCTCCTGCCGCTGTCGAGGTCCATCTCGTGGCTTCTCTTCACCTTGTCCTGGCCGCGCCACAGGAGTTTGCACACGACGTATATCAGCCCGAACACGGGGAAGAGGATGTAGGCGACTACGAAATTGGACGCGTCAAAGGGCGACAAATTCGTCCAGCCGGATATCAAAGCGAGGAATATGTTGGCAAAGACACCAAAGTAGGCATTGAAGGGCCATAGCATGCTCTTGAAAGGGAGGTCGCTGGCGCTGCGGCCTTGGGCGACCCAACCCCGCCGGAAACGGATGTGGATGAAGCTGATGCTGCCCCAGACCAAGAAAGTGCTGATGCCCGAGAGGTTGACAATGTAGCCGTAGGCCTTGGCCGCGCCGGTCGAAACGTTCATCATGGAGATGGAACCCACGGCATTGGTCAGAAGGATGGCCCAGACAGGCACGCCTCTCTTGTTCACCCAGCCCAGGATGCTGGGCGCCTTGCCGGACTGCGCCATGTAGAGAATGGTGCGTGAGCCGATATAGATGGACGAGTTGATGGCGGAGAGGCAGGTCAACAGGATGAAGGCGTTGATAAGGTGCACGCCCCCCTGCCAGCCGGCATTCTGGAGGGCCACGGTCATGGGACTCTGCAGTGCCTTGGCGTCCGCGGACACGAGCTCGTCAGCATTGGCGGGGCATGTGATACCAAAGAAGAGGGCGGAACCCATGTACACAAAGATGATGCGCCAGAAGACCTGTCGGATAGCCTGCGGCACGGCGGCACCCGGGTTGCGCGTCTCGGTAGCGGCCACGGCGATGGACTCGACACCGGCGTAGAAAGTCGAGCAGAAGACGAAGACGGTCGCCATGCCGCGGAAGCCATTGCCGTTGAAGGCACCGGGATCGTTCCAGTATCGAAAGCCGAGGGGCTCGGACTGCCCGATCAGGCCACCGGCCGCGTAGATGATGGAGAAGATGAAGAAGGCCGTGAGGCCGACGAGTTTCATGAGCGCGAGCCAGAACTCGGCCTCGCCAAAGGCCGCGATGCCCAGGAGCTGGAAGCCCATAAACAGGCTCCACAGGATCATGAACCAGCCCCAGATGGGTACCTCGGGGACCCAGTAGGTAAGGATGCTGCAGATGACGTTGTACTCGTTGGCGAGCACGGTGGCCCAGATGATAAAGTAGTTCCACCCGACGGCCACACTGAACGACTTGTCGACCATGCGCTCCGCCAGGCTGACAAAGGAGCCTCCACCAGGGAAGATGGTGGTGATCTCGCCCAGGCTCTGCATGATGAAGAAGGCGATGATGCCAATGACGCCAAAGCCGATGATCAGCGAGGCAGGGCCACCGTTGGACAGGGCGCCACCTGCGCCGACGAGCAGGCCGGGCCCAATGATGCCCGCGAGAGCCATCATGGACAGATGGCGATTCTTGAGGCCGCGCTTGACGCCCGATTCGGGATCGTGCAAATGGTCTTCGTCGCTGCTGCTGCCATTGTGCTCCGGGTCGTTGTGGTGGGCGTTGTCGGTAGCCGACTGATACGCGGACAGACCGTCGGCGGGATGAGGCTCTGCGACGGGCGCGTCGCCAGCCAGTTTCTTACCCAACATGATGATGGGCAGATTCACTCACGGTCGGGGACAGGAGAGACAGAGAGGAGGGAGAGAAGACACCCGGAGACTGGATATGGGAGAAAGGATGAGGAAGGTTCTAGGGTCCACGGGCAATGTTCACCACCATCGGTCCGTCGGGCGTCACGTCATCAGCAGTAGAGCTCATCGTGCGCGTGCGTGCAGCCTGCCTGCCTGCTTGCCTGCCTTTCTGTCTGCGAATTAGACTGAAGGAGCAGAATGTGCTTGATCCCGACAAATGTCCTGGGTTCTGGGTCCTGGCGAGGTGTGCGTGGGGTCAATATGTCTCTGGCTGATTCTGCATTCGACCTAAACTCCAAGACTTGCGGCTGCGAACGCCGGAACGGGTGGGGGTTCAGTCCGACTTGGTCAGTATCCTTAAGGGACTTGCTAAATGGTGACTCGTGATTCGGCGGAGGCTTAACTCCGTCAAGTCCATAATCCACTTGGTGAAGTGAAGACTCTTCTATTCCACTTAGACTGTGTGCTAGCTCGGCAATGAAATCAACGTTGGATCTGCACTACGTAGTAGACTTTGCAGGCCCTATTATCCCGTCCTGTTCTGTCCTGTCCGAGCCTAACAGCCTGGCGCATTCACTCAAGTGCAAAATCGTCTCGCAGCGACCCAGCAGAGACCGAAAACTCTTTTCACTCGCTCATAAATTTCTGGACATTCGCCTCTACCAAAGAGCGGTGGCAATCACGACATCGTGTGGCGAATTCACTCTGTTCGGGCGAATCAGCGACCCATATGGTCACAGGGATCGCTAATACCCCAGACCGGGCAAAAAAAAGAAAGGCGGACGTTTCGGCAAATTGCGACGAACGAGATCTGATCACATCTATGCGGCCTTTACGCTTTGCTACCGGACTCCAGGTCTAGACAAGTCACAAGTGACTAATTATAAGACTACAGCGCTTCTGTACCTCCTTGAAATCCACCAAAACCCCAGAATGGAACACTGGAAAATTTCACACGATCTTAACGCAACAAAGACACGTGCGACAAGTTACAGCACCTGACCACCTCCAACTGTAGGGTACCCATCTTGCATAGATCTGGCACCAATCCTCTCCCGAAGCAGGGACACGTTCAAACCATTTCTCCGCCGAGAATATCATCAAACACCTCAAAATTACCGTCGTTCCTGGTATCGAAGACCGCGAAAACCAATTTCCTCCACCAGCCGCCCTCAAACTCCTTTTCGCGCAGCACTTCGAGCCAGCAGTGCGCCACCTCCCGCTTAGGGTTCCGGAACGCACCGCATCCCAGCGCGCCCAGGACAAGCGTGTCGTGACCCCGTGACGCCGCCATGCGCAGACACAATCGCATCTTGTCCTTGGTCAGGTCGCGCGCTGCTGGATCGGCAAAGACCTGAACATCTGTGACCACACCCGATGCGTGCGATTGCTTGACTGTCTTGAGATCAGGACATCGTAGAGCCGCCACGCTGAGGACACTGACCACCGGTAGGTCAGTAGGTTGGACGTCAAGGATTTCGTGTCCGCTTGGAACGTCGGAGCGTATGATCACGACGTCCGGGGTGTAGAGTGCCATGCGTTGCTTGAATGGATAATATCGCTTGTGCAGTGACAAGGCGAGGGAGCTCCGGTAACAGAGGGCTTCTTCCTGCGCCATGGACCCCTTCAGCCAGCCACCCCCGGCATGGGAGTGGCTCGCCATGTTGAGCACTGCGACTCTAGACGGCACCTCAGACGCTACGGCAATAGCTGCATTGTAAGTATCTTCGTTGACGATGGAGATGGCCGTCTTGGGATGCCGCGAGCAGTCAGTTGCCTTAAGCATCGGTAGAGTGGACAGGAAGAGCGCCTCCGACTTGGCGGCGTGAATGTTGGGGAGATCCTTGAGAATGTCTGGCAGAACGGTTCGCGTCTCGGCGGCAATGGCCGCAAGCGCCGCGCGCCGCGCCGGATTGCCTCTTGGAGCTTTGAACCGGCCAGGTGGTCTGTCATGGCTACCTTGATCGCTGGCTGATGCCCGTGCTTGTGGAGTGTGATTTGATCTCGACCGTGGCGACAGCCATGAGTCCAGTGTTCCCTGAACCTTTGAGTCCCTTGCAGGATTCATGATGCTTATTGAGTTGATGATGCTCCGTCCTGAATTTGGGCTGTCGCAATGAACGGGGACGGGAAGTGCAAGATCACCGCGTGACTCGGTGCACCGTGAATCTTGCATCGACATGGAGCCCAGGCAGTCGCACGAGCGCGCTCAGCCTCACCGGAAACCGTGCTTCAGGTACTTACCTTAGGCAGGTGCTCAATCAGCCCTAGACCCACCACGCATTTCCCGAGTTATAATATTCTTCTTCAACTATTCATGGGTATCGCTATGATGATGTACAGAAATGGTACAAATGGTACAGATTGTTTACAAGCATCGCCATGCCCTCATGAAGGCGTCTTGATGGCGCCCTCGGGCACGCTCTCGCTTGGCTCGAACTTGCGAGGCACCAGTCCCTCGGCCATTTCAATGGCACCTAGCATGTTCTCCTTGTTAAACAAGAAAAGACCCTGGATGGCCGCAGTGCTCGTGTGGCGATTGGATGGCTGTCCATCCTTGTCCACACCAAACAAACCAAGCTCATCCAGCCGCGCCAGGAAGCGTTCTCGCCCGCTGTGGTCGTGGTCAACATCACCATAGAAGCGATCCCACATTTGCGCAGCCTGGTGCTTCGTCGCCTCGCCGATGCGCATCATCATGTCCACTCGCCCAGGTCTGATGAGGGCAGGGTCTAGCCGGTCGATGTGGTTGGTCGTCAGAAACGCAATGCGCTCCTCGCCAGCGGCGATACCATCTAGTGCGTTCAGCAGACCTGAATATGTCACGCTCGCCCCGCTGTATCCATCAGCGTCCCTCTGGCGGCGGTTGACAAACGCCGCATCGGCGTCCTCCAACACTAACAGACTCCGCTTGGGCAGCTTCGTCAGTAGATACGCCAGCTTGTCGTCGGTCATGCCCATCTCGCTCAGGTTGATCATGGCCACGTTGAAGTCAAGCTCTCCAGCCAGCGCGTGGATGAAGGAGCTCTTGCCGCTGCCGGGTGGGCCAAACAGGAGGTACCCCCGGCGATAGGGGATTCCCCGGCCAACGTACCACTCCTGACTCGAGAGGAAGTCCTTCACATCGCGCCATAGATCCTCCTTGACGCCCTCATCCAGGATGACGGACCCCAGTGGTCGCTTGGTCTTTGGATCACCCAGTGGCATCCAGTCCATCCCCCGCGCTGAGTATATCGTTGTTTTGCCCTCATTTGCTTGGGCAGCAAGCAAATGTGCTTCCCTGAACACATCCTCGAATACCTGTCGGTGGGCCCAGAGTGTCGTCAACTGCACAATCTCGTGCGGTTCGCCCGTGTTCATGTTCGCTGTATTGTGTTTCTCCCTATTCACCGCGATGAAGGCGCTTCCATGCTTGATGATATGCCGCCCGTAGCCCGGTTGAAGAAAGAAGTGCGCTCCGCTCTGGCCTCCAGACCCAAACGGTCCCGATGACGTGGTGGTCGTCGCGACCGACAGATTGTGTATTCGCGTAATTCTCGAAGCGATGAACCCGGGCGTCGGGCGCGGCTGCGATAACCAGGCGAGAATCCATGGGTAGGCAGGGTCCTGTTTGCTGATTTCGACGTTCACGAGCATCCGATGGCGGGCGACGTCGGCCGCTCGGATAACGCCCTTGCGCGCAAAGGCTGCGGCAGCGCCAAGGGCTCCGAGGCCAATGCCCCCCGCGAACAAGGGATTGTCCAAGAGGGCATGGAGCCCAAGCGCGGGACCTGCTGCTGCTGCTGAGGCTTCCGACATGCCAGAACTTTGATGGGGTAATAAAGGCACAAAGCATGCATTTGATGCTGGGACTTTTCAAGTATAGATATTAAGTAAGCGAAACCCGTTTGGCGGTCGGTTGGGCGGGATTCGGCATGAAAGCCGAGATCTACGTAACTGGGTGTGGTCGGCCAAGAATTCTATCGCAGCTTGTGTCGACTGGATCCTGTCGAGGTGTGAACATTCATCTACGGATATATCTTGTTCCCTTACTGACCTACGAGGTGATAGCGTTTTTTCAAGACAGCTATTCGTCATGCGACCGTTTCAACGATCCAAGACGTGTTCGCGTGAACAGCCCGAAAAGCTGTTTTACTTAATTAAACCTTAATCTTTCGGCCTAGAAATAGCTTAAATCGCGTTCTTTTTGAAAGCTTTTAACAGGCGGCCTTTGCTTAGTATTATAGCTATTCTAGATCTTTTTGGTAGAGGCTCCTTTCGGTCGCTAGATTCGAATAAAGTTCGGCGAAAAGAGAAGATGCTCTTTCCTATCTCGGCTATGACCGTTGTATAACGATTTGGCAGGCTTTGACCGGTCAACGAGCCGTCATTGAGCCGTCAAGAAAAAACGCGATCCCCTTGTAGGTGTGCAGCGTGCTTATTTACAGCTCGAGACATCAGAAATGGCTCCCCACGCCCGACAGCGCGCGATCAAAGTGACAAAGGACCAGCACCAAGGTGGTTGTGTGTTCCCACTGCCTCATCATGATTATCAGGTGCTTCTCCGTCCTAACTTCCGCAGTATAACTATCGTGAGCGGAAATTTCATCACTGCCCAGTCATCGAGACAAGACTCATGATCCCCGACAACTTCTCAGGTGCTTGGCAAGCTCGTGGCGGATCACATCGCCGTTCTGGCAGTATGTAGCCGTAGATCAGTCTGCGTGCAACCCCTCTCGTTGCTCGGGGAAGGTTGGCGCGTCCCGCATGTTTCCGTGTTTGCGCTCCGAAGCCTCCACGTCTCTCGGCTGCGACAGGAGTCAGCACCCGCCGGCGGCAATGCGATGACGAGAAGTTAAGGTAATGGAATCGTGCGGAGAAACGAAGTCTGTTTGGTTCTTGTGTTGGAGTCAAAAACTTAAATAGGAGCACTGTCCCTCCTTTTCGACCGAAATATCTGGTCCTCTCCCCATACCTGATACACATCAGCCTTTGCGCCTCAGCCTCAATTTCATGTAAGTCGACGACGTCCCCTTGCACTGTTTTATACGCCGAAGTCATGGAGTTGTTCGCAAGCACATCGTTCACTACCGCGGCAATGGGGAGATGCCTTGAAAGAGATTGTGTGGTCAATGAAGCGCAGGTCGCCATCGATGTTTCCGCCCTTGTCGCATGCGCGAAGAAGTGAGGCCCTGGTGGGGGACACATGATGTCAATGGCACCCGAGACAACGCCAACACCAGTGCTTCATACTGCACATAAAGAACGCACAACGGGTCGGTCACATCACAGTCATCCAAAAATGCCGCTGCAATTGCTTCTGAAAAGTACACAGGGGCAACGATGGTCAAGGACAGCTGCAGGATGAAAGGCCCGACAGTGAAGACAGTGAAGTCATGGCAACACACTGCCCCTCCTCAGCTCTGCTCTCGATAGACCAAAAACCCCGCGCCTGCGACGGCTGACTGGAGCTTGCTGTTACCAAACATCATCACCACTACCAATTAGAGCCTCGACTAATTCTTTATCTGTTGGCAGAACTTTAATACCGCCTCCTATTTCCCTCAAACCCCAAGAGTCGCCCGGACTTCGCTGCTCCAACCTCACGATCAACGACTTGCTCCTCTCGAAACACCGAGACAACTCACGATCTTTATTTATCAAAGCCCTCCGTCGCAACAACCGCAACTATGGGTGCTACTGAAGTGTTGAGCCGCAAGTCCGGTGTCATTGTTGGCGATGATGTTTTGAGGCTGTTTGAGTACGCTCGCGAGCACAAGTTCGCCATTCCTGCCATTGTGAGCATACCATGGGATACAATAGCATAAAGTTTGACTGACAGCATCTTCAGAACGTCACCTCTTCCTCTACCGTCGTCTCCTCTCTCGAGGCCGCCCGCGATGCCAAGTCTCCCATCATCTTGCAGATGTCCCAGGGTGGCGCGGCTTTCTTCGCTGGAAAGGTGAGAGCCCTTCCGCAACCAAATACTTCGTCATGCTGATATTTCCGTCTTTAGGGAGTTCCCAACGGCGATCAGGCTGGCTCGATTGCTGGTGCCGTCGCTGGCGCTCACTATATTCGCTCGGTCGCCCCAGCCTACGGCATCCCCGTTGTCCTCCACACCGACCACTGCGCCAAGAAGCTCCTCCCATGGTTGGACGGCATGATGGACGCTGACGAGGCTTACTTCAAGGCCACGGGCGAGCCCCTTTTCTCCTCCCACATGATCGATCTCTCTGAGGAGCCTGTCGACTGGAACATTGAGACCACGGCCAAGTACCTCAAGCGTGCTTCTCCCATGAAGCAGTGGCTCGAGATGGAGATTGGTATCACTGGTGGTGAGGAGGATGGTGTCAACAACGAGGACGTTGACAACAACTCGCTCTACACTCAGCCTGAGGATATTCTCAACATCTTCAACACCCTCTCCCCCATCTCCCCCTACTTCTCCATCGCCGCCGGCTTCGGTAATGTCCACGGTGTCTACAAGCCTGGCAACGTCAAGCTGCACCCCGAGCTCCTCGGCAAGCACCAGGAGCACGTCAAGGCCGCTCTCAAGTCCGACAACCCCAAGCCCGTCTTCTTCGTTTTTCACGGCGGTTCAGGCTCCAGCAAGCAGGAGTTCCTCGACGCCATCAGCCACGGTGTCGTCAAGGTCAACGTCGATACCGACATGCAGTTCGCCTACTGTGCCGGAATCCGCGAGTACATGGTCTCCAAGCAGGACTACCTTAAGACCTCCGTTGGCAACCCCGATGGCGCTGACAAGCCCAACAAGAAGTTCTTCGACGTACGTTGCAATCCCTGGCGCAAATGCTCCGCAAGCTAACATGTACAGCCCCGTGTCTGGGTCCGTGAGGGTGAGAAGAGCATGTCTGCTCGCGTCAAGGAGGCCCTCGAGGACTTCAACACTGCTGGTCAGCTGTAAAGTGCGTTCCACACTAATAAGGGACAGTTAGAAGAGAATAGTAAAATAATCAAATTGAGTAAGAATTTGCAACCTTGCACTGTGTGCCATGTTCTAACACGTCATGGTTCTTAATCACCTATCGCTCGCGATACTCCCACGACATGTATCTTTGTCACCAAATCCATGGGGAGAGCCCCAGTAAATCGATACTGCTAGGATTTATAACGCGATCAAATTTCAATTACTCCCAAGTTTCCGGCCCTCTGCTATCGACCAAGGAGCTCCTTCTCGATAGTTTGTACCTCAGCGTCGTCCAATTTCTGATCTTCGGCTTTCTGCGCCTTGGAGGCATCGAATCTCCACAGGCCACCTGTCTTATCTGCGTCACCGTCAAGAGGCACTCCCGCGGCCTGACCCAGCGCCTCGAGCACGTGGTCCTTAGTCTGGATGGCGTTGAAATACCGCCTCTCCCACGTTGTGCCATCTGCGCGCTCGGCTGCGCGCTTGTCGCGCTGGGCCTGTTCAATCTTGCTTTTCTCCACCGAGGTGAGATCCATATCACCCTTGCTGATGGCTTCAGCTACCTTCGACCAGGCGCGACGCGACTCGAGAGGATGCTGTTGATCTATCGGCTCAACTTTGAGCAATGTCTGGGGTGTCTTTGCAGCATCATATACTTCGAGCAGACTCTTCTTCTTAACTGGTCCCTCGTATAGGCTGAGTTCCTTGATCCATTGTCCTGACATGTTGTAAAGGACTTCCTTGTCCTTGTCCTCCTTACCTGTGGGGAAGAGTGTGGCGGTGACCGAGTTCTTGTCGCCGCTGACCCATCCTTTGCCGGTGAACTTGATCTTGGATGTATACCCTGTCGAGCTGACAATTGAGGTTTGGCCATCCAACTCAACAAAGGGGGCTCCAAACAGGAGACCTTCAATGTGCAGACTTGGTAGGGTGATGAGGTACTTCTCATCGACCTTGTCCTCGCCTGACCCTACCGGGATGGTCAGGATGGCATGTCCAATCTGCTTCACAATAATCGTGCTCTTGAAGCTCGCCTTTTGCGCATTGTAACCCTCCAGCTGGATACCCGTCTTCTTATTGCGGATACAGTATGCCGTCGCAGGAGGATGATGACTGACCTGCTCTGAAACGAGCGTTGTCTCACCGGCCTCGTCTTCCCACTTTCCAAGGAACAGTTCCCCCAGGAAGGGGTTCAAAGGCTTCTTCTCATTTCCGTATTCTTCGCTTCGACTCGCATACTGGTGCTTGAGAGTTGACAGAAACCACTTCAGGACAAGGGCAGCCCGTTTCGCAGGGTCTGATTCGGCCGCAGGCTCAGTCAACAGACCGGGATGCGTGGCCCAGTATGCGGAGAATTCGGTAAGCGACTGAGAGGATAGAATGAAGGGAGGCGCGGTCAGAGAGGACAAGTCGCCATTGAACGAAGCGATCGACTGTGTCGCGTGAGCCACTAGCTGAGATATGGGAGAATTTCAGCGCCGATATACCTTCACGAAAGCCGTCCAGCTACCGGCGCCTGCCTGTGCAGCTGGTGTGCCTGGTGCTGGCGCGGGAGTCGACATTTTGTCAAAAGAATGTCGATGTCGTTGGAGCGTGGTGCTTCAGGAGAGGCACCTTTTGCGGGGACTTGTTGGTGTAACAGGGTTCGTGGGGTTCCGCTGTGGGTAGGGCGGCGCGGAGTTGGATACGGAGATCACACCAATGTCGTGTACCTTGAACAAGATATCTTATAGGCTTATAGGGATGACGGAAGAGTCTGTTAAAAGGAAGGACTGGAAAGGAGGGTCATTTTCAAGGTGCGGTATGCAGTCTGGGGTAAGATAGGATGTTGTAACCTCGAAGGCACTCGTTGCGTGATTTCAATGAACATTTTCACTTTACGGAAGGCGTTGATGTCATCTTGCGAAGATCGCATTAGACGCCAACTGAAATCTCCAGTCTCGTGTCACCCAGTTCAGTCCCGGTTGATGATGATGTCCCGCGCGCCAAAGGTGCGTCAGTGTTGAGCCACTGTTCGGCATGTTCGTTATGGCTGCATACCTGTAGGCAATTACCGAGCGTTGCCTCTTGTGGCCGACGAACGTAATCGTGGCAATCTGAAGGGGCTCCATAGCCATGTGTGGTCATCATCGACTTACAGATGATGATGATGACTGGACAGTGGGCAATGATCCGGGTCTGCGCATATCTGTTGGCAATTTCGCAGCACTTGGGTTCCTCTGGGAGTCTCCCAGGCGGATTGGCGGGTAACCAATGCCTAAAGCCGAACGGGTTCATCCCATGACAGCATCGACATCGAATCCACCTCTTGCGCATCTCCTCAACGACCACCCAAAACTGCATCGCAAGAATTCCCTAATCTTACCTGGGGCCACTACGCTCGCCTAGACTACCCTTATTTCGTCCCTTCGACACGACCAATCTGGCTGACCTACTGTGGACGAGGACGGGTCCTACCTATGGGGCTTCCAGCTCAAGGGAAAGCCCCAAGATGTTGGAGACAAGCATGACCGAACCATCGAGAAAACCATCCTTGACGCCGCAATTTTGCTTTTCATCAGGAGCGCTCCGGGGTTGGCATACTACCTACTCATGCGCCGTTCCAACCAGCGACTAACGACCTCAGAATTCTTGCGCCTGTCTCGCTCCTCCATCGATGATTCTATCAACCAGAACCTGAACGCGTTGATCACACCTGCAAGCGCAGGTTTCGACCCGAAGTCTACTTCGCAGAGATCACCGCGGTCAACGTCGCGTCAAGTCGACCCAACAGCATGCGACCAGTTCAAGGACAAGGTTTTATACCCATCATGGCAAGCAAGGAACGATGTGCTGTACTACTGTGGCGTGGTGGCCTCCAGCCCTGACCCGGACGATCCTGAAGCAACCCTCAGAGCGATGGAGAAAGAGAAGGACAGTCACCGGGTGGTTGACGAGCGGTTGGACCCTTATTCTGGACGATTCTTTCCGCGCGAGGCAAGGACAGAAGTTTTAGCATCGCTGGTACAGCAAGAAAACCAAGTCGAAAATATCGTCCGCACCAAGACGTGGTCGACTATTCAAGAGCGCTGTAGGGGGACAGAGCTGGCTTGGGAGCACGCCATGAACAAATGGAGAGAGTGCAACGGGTTGACACTGGTTAGGCCTTGAGGAGACCAACGTTTGAAAGGAAGATCGAAGAAAGCCGAGCATGCGAGATCGCAAAGTATATAATTGTAAAATAGTTTCTGGAAAATATCTCCCCAGCTTCTCGGACGCACGACGACAACTAGTTGTCCACAACATCGGAACGCGTGTAGACTGGGCACCTCTGTCACTGCGGCAGTAGTCCCGCTTTCGCCAGCGTAGTATTTGTCTGCACAAAACTTCCTGGTGCGTAACTCGACGATAAGTTTTGACTAGTAACCAACGATCGCGAGCATAATCTCGAGACTGACCGGGACCTCAACATTGACAACCCCGCGTGAGGCTGCTGCAAGAATTGGGGCCGAGGATCCACCGACCACGATTGCAATCTTCCACCCGCTTCTTTGCCTGCGACGCTGGCGAGCCGACAATCGATTACCTGGTACGCTCTACGACCGACGGTGAACCAGCATACGCAGCGAGCAGTTCGAGCCTCTCATTCCGGCTTCCAGCACGCAGCGCGCCTTCCTGTCACTTCGGCCTTAGCTACCCCTCCACGAAAATTGACTCGTCCGTTAAGCTCGGGCGCACAAGCTCGACCGCAATCTTGAAGAATCCTCCTGCGAGCTGCATCTAATCCAGTACACCGATCGTACTCTCCCAGTCAGCTGAGTGCCGCTTGGTCGCTCAGCACCAATCGCCATGCCTCAACCACTCAGTGCCAAAGACCAAACGAACTTCCGCAATGTGGTTCGCGCCTATGAAGACAAGCAATACAAGCGTGGCCTCAAAACGGCTGATTCGATCCTGAAGAAGAACCCAAAGCATGGCGACACCATGGCAATGAAGGCTTTGATCCTCAATGGACAGCTCAAGACCGATGAAGCCTTTGCACTGGCGAAGGAGGCCCTCAGCGCCGACTTCAAGTCCCATATTTGTTGGCACGTGTATGGTCTCTTATACCGCGCAGTCAAGAATTTCGAAGAAGCGATCAAAGCATATAAAATGGCTCTTAGGTTCGAGCCCGAGTCTGCGCAAATCCAACGTGATCTGGCTATCCTCCAAATTCAGATGCGTGACTACCAGGGCTATATCCAAAGCCGGCAAGCCATGCTGCAAGCTCGGCCTGGGTTCCGACAAAGCTGGACGGCTCTGGCAATTGCGCATCACCTCGCTGGAGATCTGGCCGAGGCTGAGAACGTGCTCAGCACGTATGAAGGCACACTGAAGTCAAAACCGTCACGTTACGATCTTGAGCACTCTGAGGCAGTGATGTACAAGAACTCTCTCATTGCAGAACAGGGCGACTACCAAAGAGCACTGGAGCATCTGGAGGAAGCTGCTAAGCAGAATCTGGATAGACTGGCCGTCATGGAGTGCCGGGCAGAATACCTTGCGAAATTGGAGAGGCGTGAGGAAGCTGCGGGTGCCTACAGGGCTCTCATCGAGAGAAATCCTGATCTCCAGATCTACTACGAGAAGCTCGTTGAAGTCCTAGGTATTAGCGAGGACAATACGTCCGAGCGCAAGGCCGTTTACGATGAGTACGCATCCAAGTTTCCCCGTTGTGATACTGCGAAACGAGTACCGCTGGACTTCTTGGAAGGCAGCGACTTCAGAGCCGCAGCTGAAGCTTATCTCACTCTTATGCTCAACAAAGGTGTGCCTTCGACATTCGCCAACCTCAAACACCTTTACGCCGACGAGTACAAAAAGAACACACTGCGGGAATTGGCCGAGGAGTACGTCAAGTCGGAAGGTATTGACAAAGAGAGCAAGGATAAGGGCGAAGCCGCTGGTTTGTTCTACTTGGCGCAGCACTACAACTATTACATGAGCCGAGATCTGGACAAGAGTCTGGATTATGTGGAAAAGACGATTGAGAAGGATACCAAAAGTGTCGATTACCATATGACAAAGGCGAGGATATTTAAGCATCAGGGCGATCATTCGAAAGCATCTGAAATGATGGATTACGCACGAAAGCTGGACCTCAAGGACCGCTACATCAACAGCAAGGCGGCGAAGTATCAGCTTCGCAACAACGAGAACGAAAGGGCACTTAAGACGGTAGGATTGTTCACACGCCAGGACACGGTCGGTGGCCCACTGGCAGATCTTTTAGACATGCAATGCGTGTGGTTCTTGACGGAAGACGGCGAGGCGTACGCCCGCCAGGGCAACGTTGCAATGGCTTTGAAGCGGTTCAAGGCTGTTGCGACCATTTTCGATACATGGCAAGAGGACCAGTTTGACTTCCACAGTTTCTCGCTGCGAAAGGGGCAGATCAGAGCCTACATTGATATGATGAGGTGGGAGGATCATATCCGCGATCACCCATTCTACTCTCGTGCGGCTCTAGCCGCCATCCAAGTCTACCTCAAGCTTGCGGATAAGCCGTCGTCGAACGGCGTGAATGGAAATGGGGAGGATGAAGATGATGCACTGGCAAAGAAGAAGGCTGCGAAGAAGGCCAAGAAGGAACAGCAGCGTTTGGAGCGGGAGGTTGTTGAAAAGCAGGCCAAGCAAGATCCGAACAAAGGCACGAAGACCGACGACGAGCCTAAGACGAAGGACGACGATCCCATGGGTTTGAAATTGGCAGCGACTGAGGATCCCTTGGGTGAGGCAATCAAACTCCTCGAACCACTGCTTGAGGTCTGTCCCAAGAGCATCGAGGCACAGCACGCTGGCTTCGAGGTATACATCCGTAGACGTAAGATCTTCCCATCATGGTCAGGGTACTCAACGCTAACAATTGACAGAGAAGCACCTGCTGGCACTTCGTTGCCTCAAGGCTGCGGGCAATATTGATGCCGAGAGCCCGAGGGTTCACGAACAGACCATTACCCTCCGGCACGCTCTCAATGGAGCTACCGACGTACCAGACAAGGTCGCGCAAGTGCTCAAGGAGGAATTCAACCTTATTCCCGCTTCGGCCAATCTACATGAAATCAATGACCATTTCTTAGCGCAGCACAAGGACAGTCCCGAGCATGTCCTCGCAGCTATCCGAGCGAAAAAAATCCTCGGTGAAGACCGAGAGAGCACCGACAAGCAAGTCATCGAGATGCTAGATTTACCCAAGATGAGGTACAAAGATGCTATCAGCGCACTGCAAACATTGCAGCAGTGGCGGAGCCCCGAAGAGGAGGCTTTCAAGAAGGCGGCTCAAGCCAAGTTCCCCGGCGCTACCAGGTTTTCGTAATGAACTAGTACTACGACTAGACGTGCGAGATATGGAGAACCTAGGGACACTCGAAATTCGGTACGGTATGGTATAATACTACGTTCCTGCGGAACAAATGCATAAGTTGGGTCCCGAGGAGATCTGCGGGAGTTTGGGATGCTGATCTGGTTAAGACACACAAAAGCCTTATGTTCACTGATAGACCATATTTCGTTACATTTGCCTTGTGTTTTTGCGTGGGGCTTTGTCACTACTGCGACAACACGGATAGCCAGCATGGTGATTCCATGTCCTCGTGAAAGGCTAGAATACCTACTAGGTAAAGATAACCTGGCTCGGGGCCCTCGGGAGCCGTCAGCATGCATGGGTTGAAGCAGCACGAGGCCCATGCAGAACGGCGTCCGAGAGGTTGCTAGGTTTCAAAAGCTCAGAATTTGGTAATCAGGCCAAGGAGAGTGCAAAGATATTTCCGCTTTGGACCAGTTGCATGTAAATTGTACATAGCGCTGATAAAAATGATCTGGACATTGTTGCAGGCCAGGCTTCCCTTGATGTGAACGCGATGCGATGATGGCAGGCGACCCATGCATTGATTAGTGGGGCCTATCCTGCATCCTCCAGTCCCTCCCGGCCTCTAGTCTTGGCTCTTTGGCGTCGCACCCTCCTTTATCCCTCGGTTGTACTATCAACTAACTCTCCTTTATTCGTGTAGGTGTTAGGCGGAGTGATATTGGAATGCACCACAGCCAATTATGAATTAGTCTTGTCTTTTTGTCTCTCGTTTTGATGCTCTCTAACTCTTACTGCTACTCTGTACGTTTACTCAAGCTCCCAAGACAGACACGATCCGAACCAAGACAGCTCGCATCTCCACGATAGAACCACTGCTGCCATATTACATCGTCTCCCACCATATACAATTCGAAGCTCCAAGGCACAATGACACCCGCCGAATCCTTTCGAGTTCTAGACGACCAGGGCAGGCCAATCACCCTCGTTCAGGCGGAATCGAGCCTGAAGATCAGTGGTTCGTCGCGGCAGATTCCTTGGAAAGAATGTCTTGGCTCATGTTTTCAAGGCAGCAGGTCAACCTGTGTGCCATATAGAGACATTCTGTGGAGCAGCGTTGATGCAAGTGACAAGCTTGTCATTGATTTCGTGGCGCGCCCCGGTACATCGGTCGTAGAACAGCGAAAATGGAGGGCTTTTGATACGTCGATGGGAAGGGAACCACTCGAGCGGTTCGCACGCTCGATTCAAGCCATTGCGTACGGTTCGGCACAGCAGCAAAAGAAGGCCATGGTGCTGGTGAACCCTAGCTCTGGCCCGGGTCACGCCGTCAAGCTTTGGGAGAAACAAGTAAAGCCCCTGTTCGACGCGGCGAGGATGCACTTTGATGTGGTGTTCCTTAAGAAAGGCGGCGAGGCGACGGAGCTGATGCAAAATCTGGATTACAAGACGTACGACGCAATTATTGCCTGCTCCGGCGACGGGACGCCGCACGAGATCTTCAATGGCCTGGCGAAGCGACCTGATGCGGGCAGAGCTTTGAGGAAGTTGGCCATTGCCCAGGTGCCGTGTGGCTCTGGCAATGCCATGGCAATCAACCTTTACGGAAGTAACAAGGCCGCCGTGGCCGCCATCGGAATCATTAAGGGTGTTGTGACGCCGGTTGACCTTGTCTCTATCACCCAAGGTGAGAACAACAACCGCTACGTGTCGGTCCTGTCGCAGGCGGTCGGTATCATAGCGGAGAGCGATCTTGCTACGGAACATTTGCGGTGGATGGGGAGCAAACGTTTCGAGGTTGGGCTGGTAATGCGCATCTGGAAAAAGCAGTGCTATCCGTGCGACTTGGCGATGAAGGTTGAAGTCGCAGACAAAGAGGAGATCAAGAGGTTCTACGCCGGCAAATTGGACAAGGCCCAGACACCTGAGTTCTATGATAAGATGTACGGTCACGAGGGTCTCCCTGAGTTGAAGTATGGGACAGTCAACTCGGCCATCAGCCCTGACTGGCAGCAGATCTCTACTGACAAGATTGGCAACTTCTACTGTGGTAATGTAAGTCAAATTCATGCTGATTATGCAAGCAGGATGGAGCTTTCCTACAAGCAGCTAACATTCCTCGACAGATGGCATACATGGCTCCCGACGCAAGCTTCTTTCCTGCTGCTCTCCCGTCGGATGGCTGCATGGACCTTGTTACAATCGATGGGGACCTCAGCGCTATGAAAGGGGCCAATGTCTTGCTTTCCGTTGAGTCGGGAAACTTTTTTAACAGTGAACACGTGTCATACCAGAAAATCTCGGCGTATCGCATCACTCCACGCAATCAGGATGATGGCTACATAAGTATCGATGGCGAGAGGTTCCCCTTCGAGCCTTTCCAATGCGAGATCCATCAAGGACTGGGCAGAATTTTGACCAGGCGAGGGAAATATGAAGCTGCAGGGCCCACTGGCTGGGAGAAATACGCACAAGATGCAGCTGTTTCTGGCGAGGCTCCGAAAGGCAGTGGTCATCGAATCGTCCCAATGGAGTCCACAACGAGTAGCAACAACGGGACCAGTGTCTCTTCAGAGCGCCAACAAAGCGCTTCCAAGGCTCAAGCTGTCTAGCTCTTGAGGAGATCTGGGAGATAACGTACTCGAGAGACATGGAGCTGTAGCTAATTTTGGGACGCCTACGAGCTAGGCGTGGAGCGTTGTGATACCCAATATTGCTATCAGAAGAACATCTTTACTGTTTGATACTTATTAGTACTTATCCAGATTCAAATCAGGTATCCACGTAATATGCGGTATGTTCTCCATCTCGATCATCTCATGCTCCGGCTGGTCGCAAGTTTGGCAATAAGCACCCCACGGGTGGTGGATGTTTGAATAGGCCGGCAGGCGCCTTGGTCGAGGTACCTGCTTACCCGGAGCGCATTCCTCTTTATACAACCCCACAGCTTCGTGTTTACTAATTGTCAACACACTCACCAGCATCAACGCGCGTCAATCGGACCCTCCGCTCATGGAAGCGTTGACGTTGATATCATAACCAGAGAGCTGAATACTGCGGCCAGGGCCAGCGCCAGGGCCAGCGCCAGCATGTCCAAGAAGTTTGGTCGCCTCACATCGGGGCCTTGGGGGAGGCTCAAGCCCGTGGATCAAGAATCGCTCGACAGTATGGGCCTGGTCTCCAAGGGCGATGATCGGTAAGTCGTCTAGTTCAACACCTCGGGCTGAGTCGAAGTATGTACACCGCATCTAAGAAACGGCAGACTGAGAGACGAGGTCACACAAGAGAAGTACTTTCGTACCATCATGGAGAAGTACATGATCTTCTGCGTAGATGCTGCGACAGGTGATGAGCTGAGCCGACGATTCGCAGCTCTGGAGTTAGCAGAGGGAGCAGGACCGCTTTCAGCACCAACAGCTGCGCCCTTGCGAGGTCCGAGCAGAGCAGAAACACCCACCGTGAACCCGGATGCGGAGGAGCACCCAGAAGAACCGCCAGATAAATTCAGATCTAAGACAAAAATAGAGGTTGCTCCAAAGAGCAAGCAATCTGTACTTGTTTCTCGCAGCACAGAAAGGGAGTCCACGGCATTCTCGACATCCTCAGAGACGGCGCCTCGGCCGTCTTCGGAAAAGTTGGCCGATCCGGAGAATACCAGGGCACTTTCGGACATTTTGACGGCTCTCCGAAAGCTACGCGAAGGCATAGTAGCCTCGAAGCGGGTCGACGATTTCGCGAATCAAGCCTATCTTTTCGGCGTCCGGTTGAGCATACTCGTCCGCCATCCTGAGTCTTACCATCCCGCCATACTCCGGCTCCTTCAATGGCTCCACCCACAAAATGCTCTCGAATCCATGACAAAAGAGGAAATTGTTGGTTATCTCGTTCTCGACACAGCATGCCGTAGAAAGGAGCTCACAGAGGCGTTCATTCTCGCAAAGAAGTATCGACTGAGGAGTGGCAAGGTCTACGCCGTGCTTCATGCACTCGTCCACGACAATTGGGTCCGCTTTCGGAAGCTCAAGGGTGAGGTAGACGGGCACAAAGCAAGGATCATGGAGTTTGCAGAAGACGACATGCGAATCACGACACTGAAGGCTTTTGGGAGGACTTATATGAGCGTGAGAGTGGACTTCCTGGAGGCAATGACAGACATAACGTGGCCCGAAATACAGAAAAACTATGAATGTGGCTGGCAAAGGGAAGGAGATTTGGTCATTATTCGGAAAGTCAAGGGCAAGGCCCAGGCTTGAGGGTATCAGGATATGTAGGCTCTTGCGATGGTGGCTCGATGAAAACCCGAGTATATGGCTAAGCTCTAAAAGCGAGTCTATCTGGTACTATTGTCACGGGGTCTTGGCAACTCTTTCTCTATTCAAAAGGGGACAATTCAGGTACTCATTGTAGTCCTCCATGGAAGCATTGTGGGTAATTGAGGTGTTCGGCCTTCATTGGGCATTCGGTATCAATATCCTGTTCTAGAAACATCCGAACCCAAGACTCAGAGAGATCATCAGGCGTCTCGTTGTGCACACTCGCTTCACGCTCTAGCCATCCGATATCACCACTTGCCAGGCTGCCGTGGCTTGTCGGCAGTCAGGTAGCCACATATGGTTCCTTCTTCTCTTCCTGCCCTCATCCTTCCTTCTCCCCTTTCTTCCTTCCCCCCCCTACCCTTCCCTGCTTCCTACCTTTTCTCCCCTTGAAATCTATCGTTGTCCGTGGTAAGCACGTGCCTTCCATTACCTTACCTTGGTTCAAAAATTCTGCACTGTTGCTGCACGTTCCTTTTGATACAACTCCATCTCAACTCCTTATATCACACTAAACATCATGGCGCCGCTGAAGAAGAAGCCGAAGATCTCAGAAGAAGGCCGCGGCGCATCTTCGGCGCTCCTCAACGATTGTCGAGTCGGGTGGCTTATTAAGTACGTTTCGAAATGAGGATAAAGCCAGTACTGACGTTGCCAGAAGCGCAGAACAATCTATAGATCTAATTGCTAACGGCGAAGTCCTTGTGGCTCATCGAGATATCCTCACATGCTGCTCCGAATATTTCAAACGTTGCCTCAAAAATACATGGATTGAAGGCCAGAAAAGATCTATTACATTCGATGATGTCGACCCGAATTATCTAGCACTGTTCATTGGCCTGGCATATTCGCATTCTTCGATCGTCTCGCTGACACCTCCGACTTCGCAAACCGATCCACAACCAACCAGCAAACGCACTCCGATCAAAGACCTTATTGAGGTTCACAAGCTGTGCGATCGGTTCATCTGCTCAACTCTGGCCGATTACATAGTTGGCTGCATATATACCTCCATCAGCGACGCGCATCGCACGCTTTTTCGCTACCAGCTTGACATAGCGCACCAGAAGGCTGTGATGCGTGAGTTCGCAGATGCATACGAATCGTTGGGGAACGGGGCTGTCCATAAGGCGATAGCTTCGACACTGATCCAGTACTTCTGTGAGGGAGTCGATTTTGATGCCTGGGGACAACACGCGGATGAAATTGCGGATCGAATGACATTCGTGGTTAGAGTCTCACAGGAGTTTGCCAGAAAGCTGAAAACGCAAGTCGAAGGAAGGAAAATGAAGCGACGAGAGCTTAAAGCGGCGGAACATTAATGAGTGGTCTCCGGCGTTTGGGTTGATTTGGTAGCGTCCTGGGTGCTGGGCTACTCCTGGCTCCCTCACCCCTAATACATTAAAGAGCGGTCATTACCAGGCATCAATCGAGCAGCAGCAGTGATTCAATGGCATGCCACTCCAGTCTAGCCTCAATATGTTTCCATACGTCTTGTGAAGCCGCCCGCTCCCGCGCCATGAGTCCACGTCTCCATCAGTGGGGGGGGAATTGTATGAAGATGATGATGAACAACAGATCAGAAGAGAAGGAAGATAATGAATTCTCTATCTAAAGAACATGCTGATGCTAAGAAAAGAAGGAAGAACGCGATAGCGCGAAGATACTGCCTATAAGGGCAGCTGTGGGCCGAATGTGTGGCTGACTTTTCAAGGCAAACCTGCCTGACAAACAACAAATTGAGTTGAGGCATGTAAGTAAAAAAAACAGAACCTCATACATGGAAGCTGGTACAAGGTTACAACGATGTTAGCCTGATATAATTTATCCTCCTCCACATAGATTGATGCCTTGAGCCTGATATTGGCGTCTGAATAAATTTCCGTCGAACAGTTGTACGGCTCCCAGCACCTGGACTTGAGCACGGTTTCTCAACATGTGCGGTGCTCTTGCGGCTGCACTGCCATCTCAAACCCGACAGGATCAGTTAAGCGGGAATACGAAGGAGACGGGGACTCTGAATAATAATAATACTGTGGTCTTGCATGAGAATTGCTACCACGCAGCGGCGAAATGCGAAGATTCTCTGGACTTTTAGGGGAGGGGATGGCGAGATGCACTTTGGTGGTGTCCAGAAGGCGGATTAGCACTACTTGGTCGAACTTGAAGGCTTCTTAGTCAGGCGATACCTAAGGGGTCTCAGGATTGGAGGGTAAAGGGGACAAAAGGGGTGCTCACATCTACCAAAAATAAATTAAGATGCGCTACACACGCCGGCTTTACATCCTCCCAGAAGTTCACTGTTGGCGATGGTTCACGAGCCCCTTTCGCATACTAGGGAAGGTCAGGAGGGAGATGACGTGGCATAGTTCATCAAGGATCACAGACTGGACGATGGGCTCCCTGTTGGTAATGTCGTTGACGTGACTGCTGTCTTTACTTAACCACGTCAAGTACAGCGCCTGCGCCGTTTCAACACACTTCCCTGCTCGGTGTAGCTCGCGACCTTGACCAGCGCCTTGCCCATTGGCTGCCTTGCGATCTTGTGGTGAGGGAGACGATGATGCTGACGCATAATTCAGATATCTGCGCTCCAAAAGTGTTCCCCGCGTTCGACAGCTTCGACCCGAACCTAGCACCCCTCGCTGGCGTTTGATTTAGGGGCCGCAGTGCCAATTCGCGCCGCTGGCCAAGGCGATCGCGAGGCTTGTTCCGCTTTGTGTGCCAAAGTTGTTTCGTCGAGTCGTAGTTTAGTCTCCTGTACTTGTATGCAAAAATCATCCAAGAGCTGGTCCTTCAGCTGGTCCTTCAGCTGGTGATGACGATCCTCCAAAAGACGATGCTAGCCAATAATCAACGAACGCCCATATGCAATGCGAATGTGCCGCCTCATCAAACAGCGTTTGTTCAAATTGATGCGTGCTTCCTGCCTTCTCCAACGTTGCGGTCGAATATCATTTCTTCCCATAATGTGCCACGGCCTGTTCCAGCTCTTCAAGTGTTGAGCGTCCACCATAGACATCTGCTAATGCTTCGTACTGCCGCCTTCGTTCAAGGTCCACTTGCTCGGCTTGGTGGGCCTCGGCTAAGCGGCGATCACGAGCCTGCACCACGTAGGCGTTGATGCCGTATCCTGCCACGGCCAGGGCGGCTACTGAAGTGAGCCTTTCCAATTGTTAGTTTGGACGTTCGGGAGGCGAGCGGAGTATATGGTTGAGCAAAAAGGTACGCACCATCGCGACGGCATTCGTCGAGTGGAATGATGCAAATGCAACTCAGCGAGATGCGCCGGGTGCACCTTGGTCACAGTTGAGAAAGGTCGGGGGTGACGTTGCTGCGCCATCGAGACGTGCGGTTCGCGCAGTTTAAAGCTTGCGGAGACGATTGATGGGTTGAGCCTTGTTTAATTGGGTGCTCTCAATTGATGTCCCTACTTACGTATCCTACACGGGGTAATTGCAACGAGGGGGCGCGTCCAAGTTCACTTATACGGACGATCTACCGACCAACCGGGAGCGCTCGGGAGGCTTCGGCTACAGCTAGAGCGGCGGCGTGTCGGTCTCCGCAGGCTTCGGACATACCATCTTCGCTGTTGGACCACCGAGGTGACGTCTTCCTCGCGGTCTTGCCCGCGGGATAAGGTGATTTTTTGGCGGATAAATAAGGTCTCACCCTCGTTGCTGCGCCACGGAGGGGGGCAGGTGATTCTGCACGCAGTGTCATGCCACTTTGTAGGAAGAACCAGGCAACTTGCTGGTGGCGGGGTCGTTGGCATAGTCAAGTGACAAGACAGCAAGCTTCCATTGCGCTGAGGGTAACGGTCCTGCTTTACAGTTGCTTGGCGGATGAGCTCCAGTCTTTGGTTCGATCAATCAGGTCTTGAGTTAGAGGGGTTCAACCGCCTGCATGTATGTGCGCGGTGAGATCACACGCAGTTTGCTTCTTCGTCGTCCTCGTCGTCGAAGCTTGTCCACGCATCTAACTCTGCGTCTTCAAACCTTTCAAAGGGCCCGCCGGTCACGTCCGATGTTCCGTTACAGCCGTATCCAGTAAAGACCTCCTCAGTGCGGCCACCGTCGTCTGAATCTAAGGCAAGCTCACTTGGGCCAAAAGCCAGACTGCTGGACGTGGAGTCTTGATCTTGGAGCCTGCATGCCGAATGAGTATTGATCCATTGTTGCCAAACCTCATTGACCTGCATGTCACTCAATATCCGCAAATAGAAGGCCTTCGAGGCGACCATGTCAACGAAGTTGACTAGAATTCCACAATAGGCTTCTGCAAGAGCGTTGGGAAAGCCAAAGTCCCAAGGAAACCCTCTACTCAATGCATACCGTCGCCAAGCCTCGGCGGTGCAGACAAACTGGGCTACCAGCTGTCGGAGCGTCCAGCGCCGGTGTGAACCGTATTCCTCGCAACCAAAGAACTCGTGGGACAGAGGCACTGGGGTTCTGTTCAAGGTAGACAAGACAATTTGGGTGGTTGGGCGCTCCAGCTTGGCCACAAAACGGGCAAAGTTCGTAGCCTTCAGCTCAATCTTGTTGTCCCTGCACTGCTTCCAGAACTGGCCCAACGCCCCATGGATGACAGGCGATTCCAGGAATGCCTCGAGCAGCGGACGCTGGCTGTGGTCCATGTTCACGCCCCACAAGTGCTGAGCTACGGCATTGACAAGAGAGACGCCTCTACCACCGGGATCCATTATTTGCGTGTACCTTTTTGTCAGGACAGGCAGACTATGGAGGTCAGTGTACAGGCAACGGCGGTCGTAACATTTCTTGTCCCAGCATTGCTGCCAACCATAATTTGGACGACCATGCTTGACCTGTTCGTCGATTTGACGCCAGTAATCAGCGTGACGACGCCGCAGGCTGCGCTCAACTTGCAGAGGTACAAACCCTTTAGGTGCTCTCGTCTTACTTGAGCGGTCGAGAAGACTTGGATCTCGGTCTTGTCTCGGGAGCTCGAGCATTAGTTGCCTGAGTCGTTGCGTATATTGTAGCTTCGTCGATCTAGTCCGAGTACCTGCCTGGACAGATATCCCATGACTCAAGCTCGAAGATCGTGTCTGGTTTGACATCCATGACTCGCCTCCGAGCCACGAGCTTTGCACACCATCGAAGCTAGTCCTTGTAGACATAGGGGTTTCGGGACCAACGTGTCGGTGCAGGCAATGTTGATGGGATGATGATTGATTGCCAAAATTTGTCGAGCATCACACTGCCGTGCTATCATAAGGTAAAGCAACAGCACTGTCACACCGTGGGGTCATACTAGGTATAAATACCAACGTCCTAACGGCTTTGAATCTGGCCCGCAACCTCGGCTGTACAAAGATGTTTTGTCGTGCGACTGACAAAGAGAAAATGGATGAATTGAGGATGCTCCCGGGGTCGCCAATGTCCCGCTCCACGTTGTCTGTCCCTGTACTTCAGATTCTGTAGGGTAACTGAGACTGAACATAGATGCGACTCGACTTGAGATTGGTTGGCGCTAATTAGCAGCCACCAGAACAGTCCATCTTTCATCTTCCATGCCTCGTCAATACCGTATGGCGAACATCATTAACAGACTTTCTGCTAAGCTCGCTGACCGCGTGGCTATTCCCCTTCCGTCGGCTTGCCCCGTTTCCGCCCGCGTCGCCGTCCCCCGCTGAACCTTGGAGCAACCAAATACTTCACGAATTCACCAGAGGGCGCCAGGTCGATACTTCAACACCGTAACTGTCAACAGAGCTATCGCCTTCACCTACCTATTCAACCTACCGGCCCCCCAGACTGCGGAGAGCGACAATATCTTTTGCTATATATCCACCACTTCGTTCCGATTTCGCTGTAGCTTTCCGAAGCAGCCTGCGATGACCGCTGCCTTGTGTCACTACTGGACCTGAACCCGATTTGTTCTCTTGGCCGTCAACAAAGTGTTCGGGACGGGTATGGCTTTACACCCTGAACTCTTGAGCCAGACAACTGTTATCGACGCATTTGCTTGCACTCCGCGAGTTTGTCCACTTTCCAAGGCCCCGATCGTCGTTCACTATGGTATGCGCTTGTAACATATATGTCTCAGACAGCAGATCCGCTGACTTCCGTTTAGGGCTGCTGCTTCTCCCGCTCCTCCGGGCCCAACTCACCCTACCCGGGAGGTGACTTGACAACGTCCGCCGGTGCAGCCAACCCGCCGCCTCTCACTCTTCCCGAAAGCGCACAAAGCGCCGCTCGACGAGGGCATGCAGGCGCCAACGCGGCGAGTAACCATCGATCCGCCGGAAACCAAACGCTCGCCGACAGCTCCCGACGGCATAGCCAACAGCAGCGGCCGCTTGACCAGCACATCAACAAGCCCCTGAAGCCCTTTTCATGGGCTTCGAAAGACCGTCTCTGGACACGCCAGGAGCTGGCGCAAGAGCGCCGGGACTTCTTCGATACACGTGTGACAGGCAGAGCAGAGATCTGGCAGACCATACATGCTGCTCTTCAGGCCATGTGGGAAGACCCAAATGGGGCTGATGGCGTGGCGCTGGCACAGACGATCCTTTCGGCCGCAGAAATCTCGTTACCCACCGGGAATCTTGCCAACGGTGTGTACGATTCCTTAGGCAATTACTACCCTCTGCCACAATACATTGTGTGCGATCCCAACAATGTCTCGGAGGACAGCGATGTCAAGGGCGAGCTTCCAACCGGTGTGGACGACGACGCACAAGCCGAGGACGTCTCGGAAGATATGGAGAAAGACAAACATGTCGTGGACGTAACCCCTCAGGTCACTCTTCGTGCGAGGTTGAGCGAGAACGCCAGAGACTATCAGATCATGATTAGCCCATCCGAGACTTCCCGGAGCGTTGCAAGGAAAATCGCGAACAAGGCATCCTTGAGCGCAGACAAAAGAATCCGAGTGGCATACATGGGCAAGATTTTGAAGGGGGGCGCTTCCCTCGCGTCCCAGGGATGGCAGGAGGGGCACATTGTCAATGCTCTTGTCTTTGATCACAAGGCATGATGGGCTGTTCCTGTTGCTTTGTTCCTTTTCATTTCCTCACGAGGGTGCAATCTACAGCGTCAATGGAGTTGGGAGTCTAGCGGTGCCCATTGTCGGTCGCGGGGGCCTGTCTTCTTCTTGGTTCACTCTTTCAGTTCAGGATTTGTTCTTTATTACATGCACCAATGGACCATAATCGTAGTACAGATTGGCGTAAAGTTTTAGTGGCGACGGCGTTTTCCTACCTTCCCAGTTTCCCCATCGCCCTTCATTTGGGATGGTCGTCCTCGGTGGAATGCTCTGTAACCTACCCATTCCGCTGGTGAGAGGACCAGTTTTCATTATGAAGCTGATTCAACCCGAGTCGATCTAAGCAGAGGACCCGATCTTATTCAGCCCTTTCAATGACCCTAGGCTGAGCGCCAGGCCTTGCGACCGGCTTCTTATCCGGACGAAACCAGTGATAGGGCCGTCCTCGCCCTCCTTTTCAATGCTGAGGTTCGCCAGTGCATCTTCGCCTGTTGATTGTTAGCTTACATGGCTGGTGGTTCTTTCGAAATGGAAGCATGACATACCGAATACGCTCCGCGCATAGAGATTGGCACTCAAGAATTGGCAATCACCCTTGAGGCTTGCCTCAGGGGTCAGACACTCCATGTTCGTACATGCCATGAGTTGCTCGAGGAACTCTCGGAGGGTCTTCGCCTTGGAGTTGATGTTCACCTTGTTCTCCCACTCAAATTCCGTCCACATAGTTCGGAACTGAGTTTCTGTGCAGAAAGCGGGCTGGATGTAGTCCATGATGTCGACGTGAAGATCATTCAAAATGACAACGTTGGTATCAGTCGAATGGGCACCATCATAAATGACGTTACCAAAAATGACACCAGTGTCAGTCGACGATACTTTGATTGTGCATTGCACGTTGTGGAAATCGTGCGGCCCGAGATTTTGGGTAGTGGGACGCTCAACCACCTTGAGGTCGCCGAGAGTCGCGAACTCGACCGACAGGTTTTGGAGTGTCTCCATGGTCTGATTCACCAAGAGGACATCGAGCACAATGTCGAATTGGTGCACCTTGACGTAGGCTTCCGCATATACGGGATCGGAGAATCCGGTAAGCTGAACAACCCGGCTAAGCTTGGAAGATAGGTCCTCTGTGGCTGACTCGCCGCCTGTCGCCCTCTCCAGATCAACCTCGGTCTCGTCGAGGCCGTCACTGGCGTTCTTCCTGGACAGCTGCCTGATGTCTACTACATCGTCAACTTGCACAGCTGTCTTGGCCTTCTCATGCGCCTCCCTTGCCGCTCTTTTCTTCTCCTCCACTTGCACCATGGCGTTGAACGCCTTGCGAGTATCCTTGAGCCACACATTCTCCAGCTCCTTCTTCTTCTCGAATTCTGCCAGAGAGCGAACGCAAGACATGATGCGGTCAACTGAATCCTCATCAATGGGTGCTTTGACAAATTGTGATTGGCCCACGCGTAGAATAGAGATCATGATGAGCATCGCCTCGGCACGTAGAGCGTTGGTCCGAGCCTTATCCGACGAGAGCTCAGAATGTCGCAGAACAAGCTTGACCAATGTTGATGAAAGAACCGAAGCGAGATAGTAGTCGCCATCGAGGATCAGTTGGCGCAACGGGGGCTTCTGGGCCGCTTTGACAGCTTCAAGCTTGGCCGCCGCCGAAGACTGGCTGGTGAGGGCAGTTTCTGTAGCGTACGTACCGTCCGCAAGGACCTTACGAGATCCGCTGGGAGCAGCAGGCTTGAACCCGCCATTAGGTTGTTCGTCTGCTAGCTCCTCGGAACTATCGTCTTCAAGAAGCCGCTGCTCTGAAGCCAGAATAGGAATCTCGCCCAGGCTGGACCGGATCCTTTTCCAGGCGTCTCGAATATCTTTCTCTTCAAGAGAATATTCGCCAATGATCCACATGATGCCACGATAAACCTTCCCAGCGCGTACCTCATCGAGAGTGGATACTAGTCGCTGAACGATAGTAGGGCGCAAATTGGGGAACTTCTCCACGACTTCCTTGACAAAGTTGATAACATCAACCGCTGACGCATTCGTGAAGTCGGCGATGAAGTCCATCAGAAGGTCTACGACACTAGCCGCAACTTCCGAGAATTTGATGGCACATTGATGGATAGAGTGAATGAGGAGAGATCGATACTCGGCGTTCTTCTCATATTCTTGGTCCACAGTCTTTGACAGTTCTTTCTTGAGAAGAAGTACCACTTCTTCAACGTTTTTGCTGGTCACCATCTGTAGTGCAATCTCAAGAGCCTTCTTGCGGACGTCTAGATCGGTGCTCGTTAAAGCACGCAGGATTTCCATCGTGAGATCGTCCAAGACACCGGGGTTTTTCTTGCGCAGTTGATCAACGCGGTCCAGAACAATGAGTTTCACGTTGTTATCTGCCTCCTTGATGCTCAGCTCGATGAACTTGGCGGCGGCAGCCTTGACGGCGACTGGGTTGTTAGTTAGGGCAGTCAGAGACGATGCAGCCTCATAGACAACCGTAGATGCGCTCGCTTCGAGAAGGTCAAAAATCAATCGAAGATAACGAGCCTAGAACGGGTAAGTATAGAAAAGAAGCACGCCGGGCCGACATACCTTGTTTTGTGAGTTTTGGATTGCGTCCTTTCGGATGAACTCGAGCTCCACAAGTTGAAGGAGCTCTTCAGCGTTGGCGATGCCTTCGAATACCGAGCTCAAGTAGATCAAAGCCGCATCGTGATCGATGCTGGCTAACGCAGCAAAAGCATTGCGTTTGCAGGTCGCATCCGTCTCGCTCTCCAGGAAAGTCGCGATAAGTTCTGAAGCATCCGGGATCAGAGATGGGGAGTGGGAGAAGATCGAAGAAATAGCGAAGACCGCATTCTTGCGGACATAAGCATGCCGATGTTCCAGACATGAGCGGGCTGAAGAAAGGAGGGGCTCAATGAGCTCAGCTTCGCGAAGCTTGCAGAGGAAGCGGAGGGTGTTGCCGCGAATGTACTCGTTCGGGTGCTGGAGATCGTTCCTGATGCCATTGCTGGGGAGCAGTCGTTAGTACAGCTCCTCCTGTGTGGACTGTTCGACCTACCAGACCAAGATCATTTCCTGCTTGAGCTTTCCACCGGCGTCAAGCTTCGGACATATTTCGTAGTAGAAATAGAGAAGCTTCTTGAGTCGCTTATCTTTGGCGGGCATAACAAAGCTACCGACGCATGTGAGTCAGTTGGCTATGCAGCGGGTCGCCTAGTACTGACCGTATAATATGCATAAGCAAAGAAGGCATTGAGTCACCATTGAGCATGATGGTCAAAATGCGCTTCATGGTCTCAACCTTCGAATCGTCGGTCCCCTTCTCGAGCTGGGTCCGCAGGTCGGACACGGAGGGAACGTCCGCAGCATTGTCCTGGTGGACCAAGCTGTATGAATGCTCAAGGAACCCAGACATTGTTTAAGTATTACGGGCTCCGCCCCGTCGCGTATCTCCTGAGCGTTCCGCGATGCGTTGTGGTTTGGTTTGCGAGGGGCCCTTGACGAGCTGTTGACAGCTGGGCGGTGGGGATATGATTAGGGGTTTCGGAGACTCCAGAGGTTGGCGACTTTGGATTGGGGCAATGAGGAAACCCCTGGTGAATTCAGGTCGAGATTCCGAGGCCGGATCCTGAGCCGCAATGCCAGATCTCTTTCGATTGACGGTCGCAGGTGCTGTTGTGATCGCACGATGGAGGCCAGCTTCATGAATATCTGTCCTGGAACAAGGTGGCACCAATGACCAACGCTACAGAGCGGGAATGGTCGTCACGTGAGGGCCCTACCAACGCGACCTCGCTGCCTCAACGTCGACCCAGACCCCTGTAGCTGTTAGCCCCGCGGACAATGAAGTTTCGTGACAGCGGTCCGAGCATCGCATTCATTTCCCCGAGGCTTCCTGGCGCAACAAGGCAATATGTCGGCTTCAGCGGAACCATTCTACCTCCGCTATTAGTACGCATCCTTCTTTCAGGGTATTGGTAGCAGGTACTGACGATTGACAGTTCTGGACACATGGGCCGCTTTGGCCACGAATTCCTTGGTGCAGTAACCTCTAGATGCATCTTAAAGTGCCATGTCACCACAATGCTAACCTCTCGACTCAGAATTCGATTTTCGGGTAGTGGGGGACGGACGTAGCGCAGTGGCTCGCTATGCAAACAACTCTAACTATCGAAATGACAGCTTGATCCGCAAAGAGAGTATGTACGAAGGCTTCTTCTTGAAACAGTGGCTGACCGTCACAAGTGAGCGTGAGCTCCGTGATCGTGGATGAAATCAAACGAATCATCAAATCCAGCGAAATTACCAAGGAAGACGATGCGAAGTGGCCTCAAAAGAACAAGGATGGGAGGCAAGAACTCGAGATTCGGCTGGGGTCCGACCACATCTCCTTCGAGGTTAGTCTTCAATACTCACCCTGTCTACGTACTCGATCATTGATCATACCTAGACGGCGAAAATTGGTTCACTGGTCGACGTCACTGAATCGGCGGATCCCGAGGGACTGCGCGTGTTTTACTACCTAGTGCAGGATTTGAAGGCTCTAGTTTTCAGCCTGATCGCCTTGCATTTTAAAATCAAGCCTATCTAGGTCTTGGACTCACTGGAGCTCGACGGAAAGGTTGCAGATACCCATGTTCAACCACGATGATAAATGGCGTTGGAGTTCTTATCTTGTGGATTATTCCCATCGATGTCAGTGATCGCATGGCACCCACAATTTACGGTGGCATTGTGCACCATCTACTGATATCTTCTCCAGAGCTGCAACGTGGGATGGTGATAGCATTGGTGATGCGATACTCAAGCATTTCCCCGTTAATTCACTGCTGACCTGACCGGGGCCTATTCTCAGCCTACCTCGTATGAAGGAGGCATCCATGATTCGCGTACCCGATTTCGCTCGAGGTTGTGGCCAATTAACGCGTGAGCCTGACATGCGATGCATTTGCAAAGGCCTAATCAACGCGAAAGCACAGGCTTGACCTCCCCGTGCAGAACTGGTCGGCTATCGAACACTACTTCTTGAATTTGGTTGTCTGCTGTGCAGCCTTCCTTCAACCACCTGGCGAGTAGGTCGTTGCTTTCCTTTGGTTTCACAGAATCGTCTCGAGTGCCAACAGTAATATGAGCGGTCTGGTTGACGCATTCCCAGCGGCCTGCGTCATCTATTAAACGAACCACAATGGCCATGATCCTTTCGTCAAACACGATCTGGTACGTATCATTAGCTCCACATGCTATCAAACGACGATTTCGGAGCACTCACCCTCTCTAGCAGAACATCACAGTCTCCGAGCTTGCCCTCCGGGTTGCCAGCTTTGTTCATCTCCTCTTGCATCTCCTTATAACGCAACCATAGCTCAGGTCGCTCCTTTGAGGCAGCGCGATGCATCAAGGTAACGTGAAACCTTGGTTGGACACGTCGTGTTTGCTTGAGTTGCTTCATGAAACGGGATGTGATTGCATCCGTTTTCGAGAAAGCCTCATCGAGGGAATCGGTGACACGGCTGGCGCTCACATTGACTGCCATGTACTCCAGAGACTTTGTCTTCTTCTTGGAGACTGATTGTTGTTGTTGCTGTTGCGATTGAGCTCCTTGATCTCTTTTCCCACGATCAGGTATGTCATGTCTAAGATCTGGTTTATAGCTGAGCGCAAATTCTAGGGCCGCATCCAGTTGTTCTGGTAAGGGTACTCCGGTGACAAGATTTGGAAAGTACTTGTTGAGCTGCACGATGGTAGTTTCGAGGTTGTGTCGACTTTCGGAGGTGGGATCAAGGCTAATAATCACATCAAACCCATTGTCAGGGGCAGAGAACGGCTTGCAGGCTTCGAACCGCGCAACAAAACTGTTCATCACGCCGATGTACTTGTCGGCATCGGTTGCAGCATGAATTGTCTGGTGATTGTCCCCTCTGCTGATAATTCTCTCCTGTGTGATACGTCTGATATCTTCAATGGTATCCTCGGTGTGCAGGAAGTGCAGGCAGACAAGTTTGGCCGTGGGATGCTGCAATTTAACATCCTTGATCAGTTGCTTTCGCTCGTGAGCGCCGGCGTTGTTTCGATCAGCGAATACCACTGGGTGCTGTTTCAACTGGTCAAGGACCGCGGCGGTGAATCTGCTAGGTCGGCCTTTGCCTTGGATATTGTCGTTCTGAATATGCCCCCAGCCGAAAAGGTGGTTCAGAGCCAGAGCGATGGTGGTTTTCCCACAGCCTATTGTGGCAATAGGACACAAAATGACGTCGCCTGTCACTTCTGTCATCGGTGCTGTGCCATCGTCGTTCGAATCGAAGCTTAGCTCCAAATTGGCAGCATCTGAGCCTTTGAGATTCTTAAAAGCAAGGAAATCATCGCGAAGCGCAATAATTCCGTGATTCTGATTGTATAGACGCCCGAGTTCCTTGTCAGCGGCGAGACGCTGGCGTGCATAAAGTAAGTATTCTTCGGTGATCTTGGCGTGTTTCTTGAACTTTGGTGTCCGGCCCGCAATGAGCGCTTTCGTGCATTCTCGCCACTGTCGATACATCAAATATGGCTCTTCAAACTTGAACTTGAAAAACCAGTCGTGATATGGCGCCGCTGATGGGCTGTGAGAACGCTTGCACCTGATCACAAAACCCTCGACATCACGTCCATCATGGGCGCCAGTCTCCGCAACCTCCTCCAGGAAAGCTTTCACCTCACTCACATCAGCCATGGTTGTCAGTTCCACCTTTCGGAAGCCCCATTGGTCTGCAAAGTCTTGTACTGCCGGACTGGGGTACGTTGCGAACTCGGGTAGGTTGAGATTGACGCCATGGAGGTATAGGCCTGCTTTATCAGGACCATAGGCCAGGATATGTTCCTCGAAGCTGTCATCGCACAACTCGGCGACGGCTGTTGCGTTTCTTTGTCTGAGCTCCCTGGCAAGGTCGGTTTTTGTCTTGCCCATGGCGGCAAGCTGCTCCTCGATCCGTCGCTCACCAGCACTGGCGTGGCTGAGCCCTACGTCTGAACGATGCCCAGTCGAATGTTTGGAGCAAACGATGAGAGTGTCATCCTCCAACCCCGCCACAAAGATGATGCAGCCATTTTCCTTGAGCGTGAGCTCGTACGGGCCTCGGGTCTGGGAACATATGTTGTCCCACTTGGTCTCGTTGACTTCACCAACATTGAAGAATTTGTCGTATCCTCGTACAGCAATTTCGGGTTGATTGCTGCGCGTTTTGGTTGTGAAGAGTCCTCTTGCGTAGGTGGGGAGGTCGCGGCGTTTGTAATCCCAGTCGTGCATTCGCCAGGAATCGACCTGGATCCCAGACGGAGAGTCCCTCACTTCAAATGTGGTCTTCTTAACGGAGAGGTTGCCTTTCTTACTATTCTTGCGACCTATTTCGAGCCCTTGGAGCATCGCAGCCACCTCCTCCGTGCTTTGAGGTGCGTATGGCGCTTGGACGCTCGCCATGGTGACGAATGGCTCTTTACCCCCCGCGAGTGCTGCTTTTTGATGATGGTTTTCGCGGCTGCTTCTTGAACACCTTGTGTTGGGGCGTTTGGTCGTTTCAGTCGTCGGGTGGAGGCTGCGAGAAGTCACTCAACCGAGTTTTCAAGGGGAAGGTGCGTACAGTCTGAAGGTTGGGAAAGGCGACGTAGAAGATGAACCCTCGGGTTGACCTTCACCTGCGGACAATTTAAGGCGATGCGTAGCACAAACAGACCGCTTTCGCGAATTCAAGTACGCTTGTTGGGCGGCATGTCGTGTTGGTATGGGTCCTCCCTCTTGTGAGTCAAGGCCGAAATGAAACTCGTCCATGGAGTACTCCGTAATACAGAGAACAGCCTGCTCTGTACATGCAGAGAGTGGGTTACTCAGGACGTACGTGTGAAGTTTGCAGACTTAAAAGCTACTACACTAAGGCGAAAAAATATTAGAGGTACGCTTCAGAAAACACTCTGCTATCCCGAAGTAGCATCATGATTATCGCTTGCGAGCAGAGATAGAAGAAGCCGTAGTGAAGTATCACGGGTCATCTATACTAGTACTGAAAAGTACCTAAAAGGTACCTAGTTGACTGCTTGGTTAAAAATGGAAAACGCTTCACCAAATGGCCGTGTGAGTACTACCCCCCACCAAAATTTCTATAACCCCACTATCACGTACCTGTCCGAGGCGTCATTGTATCGCCGGCTCTGCTAAGTCTTCACTACGACAGCATTGACCGGGCCAACACACGACGAACAATACGAATCTTCCTTAACGGAGCAGCTCTACTGGCAATGGCTCCGAATCCATTCATCCTTGCGTCCGACAACAGTCCAGAATTATTGCCATTGTTGCGCGCGAACTCGGGTTTGGCTTCATCGCAGGACGAACACGGCTACTCTCTTGTCCACGCAGCAGCCAGCTACAACCACCTTGACTTGTTGCGGACACTAGTTCGGGACTTCGGCGTCGATGTGAATATCAAAGACGAGGACAATGAGACTGCACTGTTCGTCATAGAAACCCCAGACGCCGCCAAGGTCCTTGTGGAGGAGCTTGGCGCCGACATTCTTCACAAAGGCTCCGAAGGGTTGACCGCCAGGGAGAAACTTGAAGGCGAAGGCGAATTTCCCGAAGTTGTTGCATACCTCATGACCAAGGAATCTGAACATGATATCGAGCGTACGATCTCCAACGCGATCCCTGAGTCGATACCTCCACCCCCAGAGGGCTTGCGAGTCACCATGGGTACCATGGACCCAGTTGAAGATTTACCCTGCGATGTCGACATTGAGTTTCGCCGCCGAATCGAGGAGCTTGCACAGCGCGACGATTTCGACACACCACAAGGTCAAGCAGATCTGCGCAGGTTGGTTGAAGATGCTATTTCGGACCAGGGGCTGGGTGACCAGAGGGCTGTCTGGTCGAGAATGGACTGAATGCCTCTATTTGGTGGATTCTATTTTCCACAAGAGGTATTGGTTTGGCTTCTCGGCAGCCTTGAGCAGTGTCAGTTCGTTGCAACTGCCGGAAACATTGCGAGAGAACTGAGTCGCACTGACAGCAAACCACGATCGCTGGGGGCTTGCTGTCAACAGGGTCGCCACTAGTTCCCGCAGCCAGTGTGGTCCTATAAAACCTTGCCAGGTTATCTTGCAAACTTTGGCAACTCCGTCGGGTTCCTGTGGAGTGTCGTAACGCGCAAGGAAACTGTCGATGCTGTCTGTCGGAGAAACCCGGGGACTTTGCAGTCGAATTAAGGATAGCCACTCGTACAACTCGCAAGCCTCAACCTCGAATCTAGGCCGGTCGCCTTCATGAAGGATATCAGGAGATATATCCGGGATCACAGCCCTGACTGACAAGTCTTTCGCAATACTTGGCGATGAGGTAAACCCGGTCGGATGGTGTTGTTGAAGCGGGTCTGGGCTCGGAGCTACTATGGTCAGCAAACTTCTGCAGATGATAGGCTTCACTTACTTGATTTGCCAATGCTACAAAAGAACCAATCATGTGGCTTATTCAAAACCACTCTGCAAGCATACTTCAATCTATCGAACCCCTTCTTTCCATGGAGCATCGATGGACATCGAAGGTCGTATGAGACAACTGCACGAGTCAGTGTGACACGAATAATGCAGTTTTGGGATGTGGAAATAGCATACCCCATCTCTGTTTGATCCCCTGGCGCCCTTCAGATCCATGTGGTCTACCCGTTAAACCAGCCTCTTCGTAGGACTTCTTGTCTAGGTACATAGTCAAGATGCCTAGAGCGTCAGCTAAGAGTCATTCGTGCAGATCAAGCCTTTTCGCACCTTCCTTGAGAGTAAACATGTTATCGACTGTTGTGATGCCTTCAGAAAGCATCAACACATTCCCTGGGCCGCATTAATGAAGCGGTACACGCCAGGAGTGGCCTTACTAACCTTTTTTTATGTACTCCGTGAAAAAGTCGCCCTCCAGAATCTGCTGCAGAGTCATGACCACGCGATGAAATCGCGGCGCTAGTTGCTCTTCCTCCAATTTGCGTAGGAGTGCACTTGCTAACTCCTGAGGCATGATTATATCTAACTGGAATTTCTTAACCGCTGCACGTAGCAGTTGTCGTGGCAAGAACCAGACATACCTTTTGAATGAAGTCCAAACCCATCAAATCTGACCAAGGTTTACTATTGTAGGGAATTTGGCCGCGCTGGGTGTAACCCATGGAGCCGTAAGTGACGAAACACCGTGGGGCTTGGTACGTCGCTGAGGGCATTCGGGCAACCATTGGCGTCAGTCGACGGTGCGAGAAACTCGATTTAGTGGTTGAAGTGAGGATATAGCAGTTTGTTCTGGTATAGCTTGCCTTGGATGCGCTGGTTGTTGCCCATGCAATGCTAAGGTATCTTGATGCCGGGGGAATCAGAGGAAATCAGTCGGCGTTGCTGCGGGTGTTTACTAAATTATAAAACTGCCAAACCCAATCGCCGTGCGGAGTATCCGCAAGAACCTGCTGAAGGGGAAATCATTTAATTGAGTTCCCGGAGACCATTAATATCGTAATAATGCTCCTTTTTGCCCTGAATGAAGTATAAGCTCCTTATATATATTGAAATTGATGATATTTGATCCATTGCAAGACTATTTTATACCTCATATCGGTCTGGTGGTCCCTTGCGAATGTACTTCAAATTTCCATTTTTTTCTAGATCCCCAGTATGAGGGCGACCAGCGACTTGAGAGATAAGCAGTCCAGGGATGAATCAAAAATTGCCGGGCAGAAAAGACCGTAAGTCCAGTCTTGTTTCCGACGACTGCGGTTCTCACCTCGACCTTGTCGTTCATCCAAATTTGCTGCGCGTCCAGCACTTTCATTGGGCCTGCGAGACTGAGGTAGGTGAGAGTTCTCGGGATCGCACGAAAGGTGGCAGCAGCAAACGTTTACATAACCTGCGGCGATTTGTGCCGAAGAGCATCAGTCGCCCCAGTCTTCTCACAGAACCTCAATCTGAGCTTCAAGATGCTTTTTCTGATTCGATTTGCTCAGATTTATGAGTCCTTCAGATTAGCAGAACTCAAAGCTCTCGCGGAGCTCGAGTGTGAAGATCTCAAAATTGTGGACCATGACGACCAGGTATTTGACCTAACACTCTTCACGTATTATTCTGACAAACATAGAATCCATTCTGTATTGTTGAGATGTCCTCAATCGAGGCATCGAAACGAGTAATAAGTCGATCAATCCTGGCGCAGTCTATTCATGAACTCTGGGGGTCAGGCTCGACTTTAAATGAGCTCCACGAGGATATCAAATCTATACTACCTGATCGTGGACACTTGTACAAGGATACATCATTCAAGTTCGAGGTGGAGTGTTTCCAAGGTACGCGATCGAAGAAGGCTCGGATGGAAATTATTCATTCCCTCGCCTATCTGCCATTTGAGGGTCCTATCAAAATGAAAAATCCTCAAGAGCACTTCACCATCTTCGAGTATTGGCCGTATCAGAGTGTGTTTTTGGGCATCGAAAACCCGGAACGACTCTACTTTGCCCGATTTGTCGGCGGGACATCGCGGGACGTCGTACACAAATATGACCTGAAAAAGCGAGGGTACATATCAACAACTAGTATGGATTCGGAGTTGGCTTTGATCACTGCCAACATTGCACTTGCGGACTCGGGAAAGCTGTTTTTTGATCCGTTCGTAGGAACAGGGTCTTTCCCTATAGCATGTTCGCACTTTGGCGCTACAACCTGGGGCAGCGACATTGACGGGAGAAGTCTCCGTGGTGATGGGAAGGATAAGAGTCTCAAGGGAAACTTCTCGCAATACGAAATGAAAGAGCGCATCGGAGACGTTTTCGCGTCTGATCTCACCAACACACCGCTGCATTTACGCAGGATCTGGGACGGTATCGTTTGCGACCCCCCATACGGTGTTCGAGAAGGCTTGCGGGTGCTGGGATGCAGGGATCCTTTGCTTAAACCGTGGCAACTCGAACTCAGCAAGAAGAATTACAAGTATGTTGATGACCCCCTCCCCCTCCCCCTTTCTTCTATTTCGAGCAAGGACAACAGCTGAGAACAAACAGAGAGCCCGATTACGTGCCGCCTAAGAAGCCATACAGCTTCTACGCCATGTTGGACAATATCCTGGCCTTTGCGGCGTCCACTTTGGTAGACAACGGCCGCTTGTCTTTCTGGATGCCCACAGCAAACGACGAGGATCGCGAAATTGCTATACCTGAGCATCCCCGTCTTCAGGTTGTCTCAGTTTGCACTCAAGTTTTCCACAAATGTCAGAGAAGTCAGGTCCATCGTCATTAAGACACGCCAACTAACAACATCACACAGGGTCACGTAGACTGATTACCTACCGTCGAGTGTCAGACGCTGAGGTATCTACAGCAGCTCTACAAGCCTTTGCAGCGCGCCAAAAATTGACTGTGGAGGGTAGAACGGCGGACGAACTAAACCCATTCAGAAACGAATATTTCAAGGGGTTCAACAGCGAGAAGTGAATCGATTGAAGAATGAAAGAGAATGCATATAACCGTCCATCAATACTCGTCTGCGACCGTAACAATTATACGGAGCCGATAGAGCACTTGGTCTTCACATCACTTGGGTACGCCTAGTGTGAAAGGCTACCTTATGGTGCGGCATTGTGATGAACATGGCTTCAAAGGACAGGCGACATCAGCCGCTCACAAATGGTCCCTACTAGTGGCAAATGCTACCAGAATATGGTGATGATGCAACTCTCCCAGCCCAAGCTATTATCTCAACATCGACTTGGCAACATCACCTGAATTCGACGGCACTGAAGCAGCCCCGATCTTTGACGTGCTTAAGCTCCAACTGCTGGAATCTATGCGTCGAGGTCAGCGTATGCTGTGAATACCGTGAATGGGTCGATGCACTCACTTTTCGCTTTTTGAATGGAAGTAGATCCCGCTGACTTCGCCTCTCAGCTGATTGAAACATATATAGTAGAAGCCCTCAAAACTGGCACCAGTGATCGTCCTCACGCGGTGATCGGGTACGAGGAAATGCTCTTTCCAGCGCATGAAGATGTGTTCCCGTTGAAACACATCAGGAATATGCACTATGCCTCGACGGGCCTGCTTTTGGAACGGCCGAAAAGCTCCGAATTTAGCCCAGTGACTGAGATCGTCCTTGTGTGTAGCGCCCCAAGCTTCATTTGCAGTGAAGAAGTTGTATTTCGAACCGATGATCTCTCCTTCGAAATAGGTGGTGAGCGTTGGGTGGTCTTCCGTAAGGCCTACACGGTGTTAGCTAATGATCTGCGATACGTATCCGGCGGAAACGTTCCTTGTATTCGCAGGTATCCGCACAAGAGGGACTCTCTTGGATCCACGTGTTTGATCTCGACTTGAACCTCGTACTTCTGCTTCTCGGATTGTTGCGTTCCCTGGAATTTGCTGCCAGGGCGCAAGAACGGACATATACAGGGAGGCTTGGTCTGAGCAATCTTAGCTTATCTATCGTTCAGCATAGTTGTGAGTGCTTCATACACGTAGGGTGGGGAAGTCATATGCACTCGATGGTACATTTATCTCCGTGTCTTGATCGACTAGCGTAGAATCGCCGATTTGCTCGCCTCGAGGCAGAGTTGCTGACTCGGCCATCGCAGGAGGATCTCTGGCTGATCGCAAGGAAGACGTGTTGGTATGGCGGCGATCACCATAATCCCTGAACTTGTCGTTATCGGCATTGTGATCAGCAGGCGGCTGAGGCGTCGCACTTATATGATTAGAGCCGGATGCGGGCGACGATGTTGTGGCGCGTGAGGACAAGTCTCCTGAGATATCCTCATCCAGTGTGCTGGTGCCATCGACTGGTGACTCGTCGCGGAAGGCGTGGCTCGGTGGGAGGCGTTCTAAGTCGAGTCCTGCAGGGAGTGGCATATTTCCATCTTCAATGAGCAGCGC